GTTGATGTTCTCGGTGTTGCGGGTCTGAATTGCGATACTCCCTCTAAGACACCCACTTCTGGCGCCGACTTCACGTCCATCTGCGCTGCCGGTGGTAGGGAAGCTAGGTGCTGTGCCATTCCCGTCGCTGGACAGGCTCTTCTTTGCTTGCCTACTATTGGAGGAGGTAGCCCTCCTTCTGGCGGTAACCCTCCTGGTGGCAGCAATCCTCCCGGTGGCGGCAACCCCCCTGGCGGCAGCAATCCTCCTGGTGGCAACCCTCCTGGCGGCAATCATGTCTGCCCTTCCGGGCTCTACAGTAACGCTCAGTGCTGCGACGTTAATGTTCTGGGAGTTGCTGATCTTAACTGTACGCCTCCCTCCACGAAGCCCACTTCTGGAAAGAATTTCAAGTCCATCTGCGCTGCGATTGGTAAAGGCTCCATGTGCTGTGTCGTTCCTATCCTTGGTCAGGCCATCCTGTGTCAAGAGGCCACTGCTTAGAGACACAAAGGGGCTCATCTTTCTGACATGAAAAGGAGAGTGTTTTGCGCGTGTGGTATATTACGATGCGTGGGTAATGCAGTGTTTCGGGGCTCCTTGAGAGTACATTTTTTTGGGCGATGTCTTGGTACGAGTTTTCTTAATATTCTTCTTCTTCTATGCTATATAGATTGGCCTTAGGCTATTTGCACAAATACATCTCCGATTTATTTTCTACTATATTTGAGTTGGTGCTCGTAGTGTGTTATGCTGTGTCCTGAAGCGTTTGCCACTGGATCCGTTCACCACGGGTATTATGCGTAATTTACAAACATGCGATTCCAGTTCCTAGAATAGGTTAGATTATCGGCACAGAGGATCGAGGTATAGCAGCTCAAGATGACGACTTTAGTCGAAGTATAGCTAGGTTGAGTCGGCAAGGCGGAGTTTTGTCCGATGCGGGTGATGGACTGGCTGGGACAGGCTTGGGTAAAGCAGATAGACACGCCAACTGTGCCTACTCGCATACTATGCACGTGCTCTGTACACATCTGGACAGAGAGAAACCGCGAGACTTGCTAACCAATCCTTTCCACCCAGCGCCGGTGGGATGCGGTTGTGTGGCACACCGCTCAGCTGGCTTGCCCAATCGGTCGGTGATGGGGGCCGAGAAGCAACGAGGCGAGTAGCAGTTTCAATTTCATGGCGTCGTGCGTTGGATATAGCCGGAATTGAACTAATGTCTGGCGTAAAAGATGTCAAGCGAAGAAAGAAGCAAAAGTTGCTCGCAGTCTTTTTGGCTGTTTGCTTGCGTTGAGCGACAACAGCATCTGGTCAATTGGCAACGGGATAGGCCCTCTGCAGTTTCTCCCAAATTTGGCGGGGAGTACCACAGTCAAGTTATAACAAGTATGCACTGGTTTTATAGTCCTCGCATTTATTGTATTTGTTATATTTCTTATATCCATCGCGCTCATCGTACTCGTCGTAGTTCTGTCGCAGGAGGCTGTCGTGACGTGGTTTATTCGCAGTTGACCAGATGCTGTTGTCAAATTCATAAGCCTTCCTTATTTAGTAGCACGTAGGTAGGCCCTGCGGGGAGGCGGTGCGCAGCTGTCTTGCCCGTTTGTTGGACTCGTTTGTCGCGACATTCAGCACGCAGCCACCATGAGAGTTGAGCGAGGACTGGGAACCCAGGTTTGGTACCTGAATATCTTTGTATATTTTTGGAGTCAATTTTAATGGAAGCAAGACGTTGGAGCTTTGGGGTTCGTTGCACAGGCAGCCAGACAGCTCACGCCATGCCAACTTGAGGGCGGGTGAGGAGGTGAGGGGGCGAGAGGGGGCGCCGCCTGATTGTGACGCGCGGAGCCCACGAAAAAAGGTACTTGCGAGTACATGTAGTAGCCGGCATACTTGATCAAAAAAGGAGCTACTGAAAAAACGCCTCCTCATGCTACGCTTTTTAGCTGCGACTGCACCACCACCCTCGTAATAGAAAACGTTGCCCATCAGACAGCAAGCCCCCACCCCCAAATCTACATGCACAGATGAGCCGCATCGACATTTCGATATCTGGCTGGACAAATTGTTTGATGGCATCGTGGTTGGCGTTGATGAAATTGATGCTTTCCTTCTCTTCACATCACCTAACCCTTCATCGCCCAGACCAGATGAAAGCGGCCCCCCTGTGAAAAAGAGCGGGGGCGAGTCAGCGATGTACCGTCTGGGGAAGTGGGCAACAAGATACGGGGCCAAAGTGTTGCAGTGGGCGACCAAAAGGCCAGTCAGTGTCGAGTGATTTGAGCCCGAAGCCCACTGTATCGGCGCATGCCTCAGGCCACTGCACCCACTGTGGCTCCGCTCCAAGTCCGGGGGCGGGGCAGGTGGTTGCGTGACTGTTTGCCGTAGGAGGATTCCATCAGCAAACGAGGCCATCAGCGGAGGGTATAAAACGGGCAGAGGGACGGGGAGAATTCGGATGTGTGATGGGAGTTTGTGAAGCTGTTCGCACGTTGCGTGTGCTAGTGCGACCGTTTTTTTAAGATGGTTTGTCGTGCGTTGGCGTGAGGGTGGTGTGCCAGGTGTGCGTGTCGAGGCAAGTGTGGTGTGGTTGGTGGCCCAAACAAGGTCGCGAGCTGCACGCCGACGACGAGTGCGTTTAGGGAGTGACTGGCTGGATACCGACATGCTGGGGCTGGGCAAGTCACCACGACCAGTGCAGGCAGATATCAGCCTGGTAACCTCGACGACACCAACCACTCACTCCTCGAGGCCAATCATTGTCCCTTTCCACCAGTTCCTGGAACATCCCTCTCGCCAAGTCCACAAGGTAGATGCTTGTTCAAGCCTGGTATGGGCCGAGTGCATGGGGCCAAGTCGTCGCGCTGCCCATCTCGCTTTACCCCGCTCGAGTACATGCCAACTGCCTGCTTCCCCGGTGGCGGCGTCGGTAACTACCTACCTAGCAATGTCAGGCCATGTGTATGTGACGAGGCGAATGTACCTTTTTGTACTATGATCAGTCGTGCGTCGCCCTCTCCCCAAATATCGCCCAGTGTATATATACCAGCCCACCTCCCTATGACGCCGCCACCTGTGCCACTCGTTCTCTCTTCATCCATCATTGTGCATCCTGACAATCATCCATCATCGCGGTCGATAATCCATATTATCATCACACAATACACAACATCTTGCTGTTTCCAACACTCTCTTCGAACCCACCACATTGTGAGTCTCACACCTCGCCACTCACCACCATCACCACTGACCATCCTCACCTCAGACAACAACACACACACACATCACCACCATGCGTCCCCGTATTCCCCGTCTTCCCAAGGCCAAGCGCTCCGAGGTCTGGATCATGGGCGCCGCCGGCGTGGGCGTCCTCGCCCCGCTGTACATGATTATGCCCGGCGCCGACGAGCGCCTCGCCAAGCAGACGACCAAGTGGGCGCCGCGCTGGGAGAAGAACATCACCTACTTTGCACCCCCCGTCGAGCGCGGCATGCAGCGCCTCGAGCCGCCCCTGGCCCGCGCCGTCCAGCGCATCCCCGAGCGCCTGCCGCTCGAGAAGATGGCAAAGGGCGTCGACTCCACCATCAAGGCCGGCATCGAGCGCTTCGCCCCCAAGCCCAAGAACTAAGGGGATGATGGGAGGCTGCGAGCTTGTTTGTTATTGGCGTTTTTATTCATGATTTTTTATTTGAACATAAACAATTATGCGGCACTTTTGTGTGCATGAATGGGGGGATATCATTGGTTCAGGAACTTGTTTCTTTGCTACTTGCTTTGTGATTGTGCACTCACAATCTGGGTCCGAGCGACCGTCTGTTTTCGTAACTGCTGTGGGAATATCTGTCCGAAGACGTCCGAAAAGGCTAGATTTAGACAATTTGATACAACACTCAAAGATGCTCTCCTTTCTTTCAGCGTGTATGTGAATGTCATGTACCTATGGGCGGACACGGAAGCTTCGCAGCTTTGCGTCCGTTCCCCGCCTTGACGATGCTACCCAACTTTGTGTAATAGATCAAGACCGTAACCGAGTTCCTCGGGCGAAGCGCAGCAAGTACACCCTACCTGCAGTGAAGGAGCGGATGCGGTCAGTTGCCAACATATATATCTACTCCTTCCCCCATTCCTCACTGTTATCCTTCTGTCCCAGCGCTCCCGAAGACGACGTCTTGCGCACTTATACATACCACCACCACCACCATGGAGCCTCTTCTTGAAGGATACAATGACTTGATCACCGGTGCCGGCTCTGGTATGTCTACGTTTTTTCTAATTCTGTGTTTTCTTAAATTAAAAAACAAGATATTTCTGACATCTACCAAGGCATCGGAAAAGCCACCGCCTTGCACTTTGCCCAGCACGGCGCCGCCGGCCTCGCGCTCGCCGACATTCGCCCAGCCTCCGTCGCAGCGGTCGCCGCTCTCCTCGGAGAAACCCACGCGCACGTCCGCGTCGTGCCGCTTGTGCTGGACGTGACGAGCGCGGACGGCGTGCGGGCCGCGGTGGCCCAGGCCGTCGCGGCGCTCGGCCGGCTCGACGTGGCCGTCAACAACGCGGGCGTCGCCGGCACGACGAGCCGCACGCACGAGCTGCCCGACGAGGCGTGGGACAGGACGCTGGCGGTGGACCTGAACGGCGTGTTTTACTGCCAGAGGGAGGAGCTGGCGGTCATGATGCAGCAAGAGTGCGTTTTTTTGCCTCGTTTTCTGCTTCACCGTGCTAAAAAAAAAAAAAAACAAGTCATCTCGGCCCCCGACGTGGTCGCGGCGTCATCATCAACACGGCTTCGCTGTACGGCCTGCGCGCGCCGGTGGTGCCGCTGTACCAGTCTGCGTATACCGCCGCCAAGCACGGTGCGTAGCCCCAGAATGAAGAATATCCCAGCATGTACTGACACGCCGCACCCCATTGCAAAAAAAAACAACAGCCGTCGTCGGCCTCACAAAGTCAGACGGCGTCCACTACGGCCCGCACGGGATCCGCGTCAACGCCGTGTGCCCCGGCTACGTCGAGACGCCGCTCATCAGCAGCCTGGCCAACGCCGCCGCGGTCACGGCGCTGATGCTGCGCAACACGCCCGTCGAGCGCCTCGTCAGCCCGGACGAGGTCGCCGACGGCATCGTCTTCTTGGCGAGCACCATGAGCAGCGCCATGATGGCGTCGACGCTGTCGCTGGACCTGGGCATCAGCAGCAGCAGCTGAGAACGGGCGGATTCCTTCCAAGATGGGTAGCTATTTGTTCAATAACTACAATTTTGTCCGCGGACCTTCCGATTTGGGCTCCGCAGGGTTTATCCAAGCCGAAAATCCGAAAATCCACAAGCCGTCAAACGCCAACGTCTCCCCCACATCAATAGTTACCTACCTAGTAGTTAGTTACCTCAACGCTTTGGTTGCCGCTTTGGTTGCCGCTTGTCCAATCTTTTCCCGTCTTGGTGCCTTGTCAACCCCGCGGCATCGGTAAACAGGGCTATATACTACCCGTCCCAGTAGCTACATCTTAAACCCCCATACAGCTTTCGCTTCTCCTCTGCCCTTTTTTTTCTTGCGCTACTCTCATCTCACCACTTTCCATATTTCTCCCTGCCCAGCCTTCCCGCTTCCTGTTCCACCCAGTCTTGTACACGCGCCCTCGTACAAAGCCTGCCATACCTCGGCTTCTCACCCCACAATCTACACAACTCTCTCCTCCAACAACAACTTGCCCGTTCCCCCCCAAAGACTGCATGATATAGACACAATGCCTGTCCGGTCACAGCTCCCCGACGTCGAGATCCCCGAGGTCAACGTCCTCGACTACATCTTTCCCGACCCGAGCGACGTCTCCGACAAGCCGCTCTGGATCGACGCCGACGACACCACCAAGAGCCTGTCGCTGCGGCAGACCCTCGGCTGGGTCCGGCGGCTGGGCGCCGGTCTGCAGCGCATCGGTCTGCGGCCCAGCGACGTCGTCATGATGTGCTCGACGAACCACATCTTCGTGCCCGTGCTGTATCTCGGCGTCGTCGGCGCCACGTGCGCATTTACCGGGGCCAATCCGGCCTACACGCCAAAGGGTATGTACATTGTCTCCGAATTACAAGCAGAAAATGCATCAAAATGCATCGTCCTCCCGTTGTAATTTTTTTTTTTTTTTTTTTGCAACAAGGGAATCACTAATTCACCCCCCCCCAGAAATCGCATACCAAATCTCCAACGCCAAGGCCAAGCTCATCCTCGTCCACCCCTCCAAGATGGACGACGTCCTCGCCGCCGCCGCCGAGGCGTCCTTCCCGCGGGACCGCATCTTCCATTTCAGCGACGACGTGTCCGGCCGCGCCACCAACCCGCACGGCCTGCGCGACTGGACTTCGTTTCTCGGCCCCGAATCCGCCGGCACCACCTGGCAGTGGCCGTCCCTCTCCGGCGCCGGCGCCGCCCGCACGCAGCTCGCCACCATCAACTACAGCTCCGGCACGACCGGCCTGCCCAAGGGCGTGTGCGGCGCCCACCGCAACCTCGTCGCCAACGTGCAGCAGCTCATCGGCCTGCGGCACCCCGACGGCCTGACCCTGGCCGCCGCCGACGACGTCTGGCTCGCCTTCCTGCCCCTCTACCACGCCTACGGCCAAATGTACACCATACTCATGGCCGCCCGCCGCCGCGTCACCGTCTACGTCATGTCCGTCTTTAACTTTGAGCGCTACCTGCAGTGCATCGAGCGCTTCCGGCCCAACGTGCTGCAGGTCGTGCCGCCCGTGGTCGTCATGCTGTCCAAGCGGCCGGAGGTGGCCCGGTACGACTTGTCGAGCGTCAGGGACGTCATGTGCGGCGCGGCACCGCTCAAGGCCGAGTTGCAGAACGAGGTCGCCGATCGGTTTCGCGCCAATGTTGTGCAGGGCTGGGGCATGACCGAGCTGACGTGCGCGGCGTCGAGCTTGCCGACGGGCCACGTGGACCGCAAGGCCAGCTGTGGCATGCTGCTACCCAATTGCGAAGCCAAGTTTTTGGATGAGCAGGGCAACGAGGTGGCCGTCGGGGAGCCGGGCGAGCTGTTTGTGCGCGGGCCCAACGTTATGCTCGGGTACTGGCAGAATGAACAGGCAACCAAGGAGACGCTCGAGGACGGCTGGCTGCGGACGGGCGACGTGGCCGTGTACAATGAGCAAGGCATGCTGTGGATTGTCGATCGGAAAAAGGTGAGCTCTTCACTTATGCTTGCTGGAGACGGATCAAGCATTAATCATGTGTTGCAGGAACTCATCAAGGTCAACGGCTTGCAAGTCGCACCCGCCGAGCTGGAATCCCTGCTCCTCGAAAACGAGCACATTGCCGACGCCGCCGTCGTCGGGATCGAGCTGTACGTTTCTCCCGAAGCGAACAAGAACGAAGCTAACCTGCACCCAGGGATAACGAGGAATGGCCGCGCGCCTACGTTCACATCCAGGACGTCTCCAAAGGCAAGGTCCAGCCGCGCGACATCCAGGACTGGCTCGCCGCGCGCGTCAGCAAGCACAAGCACCTCATCGGCGGCGTCTCCTTTGTCGATGCCATCCCCAAGCTCGCCAGCGGCAAGATTGTCCGGAAGCTCTTGCGCGAGTGGTCCAAGCGCGACGCGGCCGCGATGAGCAAGGCGGGCTGGAGCCGGTCGAAGCTGTAGATTTGTGGCGGACAGTGTAGAGCGATTGTGTGACCATTTGTTTGGCGAAGAAAGTAAAAGGATAGACCCGGAATATATGATGATGCGTGCTTTTAAACAGTATTCGATACATATTGTACAAATTCATTATTGGTGTTGCGATCCATTCCGTAGACAATGGCCAATTACTCTTCTCGTTTCGGCACTTCACGATTCAACACCTTGACTGGGTGTCCTAAAGCCACTGTTCATCATTAGCACACTAAGTACCATTGCGCGTTGAAAACAGCGATTGTTGAGGAGCAATAGAGAAAAAACATACACCGGTCAAAGAGGTAGTAGCTCGTCACCAGCAAGATGGGCAGCGCAATCATCGTCAACGTCCACCGCCGCGCCGCGCCATTGTACCGCTCTTTGTACGCCTCGGCCGTCTCTGCCGGCGGTGCCTCTTTTTCTGCGTTGACGCGCGCGCGGAGCACCGCCGCCGCAGCGCTGCTTGGCGTGGACGCTGGCGGCGGGTTCGTGGCTCGTCGTTTGGAGGGCGGTCGAGGCGCGGAGGAGGGGGAGGAGGAGGAGGCGAGGCGGCGCTGCGTCGTTTGAGCAGCGGTATGTGAGCGCAGGAAGGAGAGCAGGCGCGGCTGGAGACGGGAAGAGATCATGGCGAGATGCGTTGCGTTGTTGTGTAGGCAAACAAACGTTGGACGTTGAAGAGGATGGATACCTTGAAGCTACTGTTTATGTGGGTCACCAAGCTGCAGTTTCATTTACATGACCACCAGCATACTTAATAAAGGGAAACCGGCAGATAGATATGAGACAACTTGTTTCCGCTATATAATAAAGTACATTACATAGAAACCGCGGCACTTGAGGTGAAAACCACAGCCAAATGTTCCCATTTTTACGCTCTGACTGCCTTCTTTCCCACTCCAGCCAAAGAATAAAGCTGATTTGTCTACCTCGATGATTATAGTACACAAAAAAAGTTTTGCCCAAACGCCCAGATAAATCCCAACACACAAACCCTCCTCTCAATCATCGTCCTCCACATAGCGTGGACCACTGGCGCCAGGCGTCTCGGGAGGCGCCGCCGGCGTGGGAGCACCGTAGTAGCCACTCGCTGCAGGCGTTGGAGCCCCTGCCGCCGGCGTAGGCGCAGAGTCGGCGCCCCAGCCGCCCTGCCATCCCGCGCCGGGCGTGGGAGCACTCGCTGCCGGCGTTGGCGCCGAATAGGCACCCGGCGTCGGGGCTGCAAAGGCCCCTGGGGTGGGAGCACCGAGAGGGCCGCCAGGCGTAGGCGCGTCATAGGCACCAGCGCTGGCTCCGGGCGTGTAGCCCCACGAGTCGTTGCCACTCGCGCCGGGTGTGGGAGCCGATGTGCCCCATGCAGGCGTCTTGGAGCCCGAGTTCCAGCTGTCGCCGCCAGTGTAGGCAGGAGTCCGCGAACCGGCACCGAAAGCGTCACCCGGAGCCGGTGTTCTGGCGCCAGACTGCCAGGCGGGCGTGCGAGAGCCAGAGCCATAGGCCGTGCGGCTGCCATCGTAGGGGTTGACTGTTCTGGACCCATCAGCCCACGCAGGCGTGCGTGAGCCAGAGTAGTCCTGGCCCTTCCAGGCAGGTGTCCGGCCACCCGTCGCCATTGGTGTGCGCGAACCCCACGCAGGAACGCGGTCGCTGACACCGCCAGGAGCTGGTGTGCGAGAGCCTCCTTGCCAGCTCGGCATTCTATCGCCACGACCGCCTCCCGGTGCGCCGCGGCCTCTGCCATTGATGTCGATGGAGGCGCCGCTCGTCTTGTCCTTGAAGTTGAGCGAGTCTCGCGGCACCGTAATAATCTTGCTCTTGGTGTGCAGCTCAACACGGCAATGCGTGTCTGTGGAGTCCTTGACAATACCCAGCAGTCCCTTGTAGGCACCCTTCTTGATGATAACAGTCTGGTTGATAGCCTTGTCGCGACCAAACATCTTGACAGGGGTGATGGGCTTGTTTTCGGACCCGTTCTTGTGAATCTTGAGCGCAGGGTTCATGGAGCTTAGATCAGGGCCTGAGGTGGCAGCGTTGACACGACCCCCCTTGGCGGCCACAGTGTTGACCAAGCTAGACTTGGTCACAAAGACACCCGCATTCTCATTCGTGTCGTTGGTGTGCAAAAAGACGTATGAACGGTGAATGTGAATAATCTTTCCTTGTCTCTGCTGTCCCGTGTACTCCTTGACAACATCGTCGAGCCGAATCTCGGATCCTTCACGGTCAGCAGCAACGGCCTGCTTTCTCTTGGGAATCTTGTTGGAGATCTGCGAGGGCATGACCTGTCGCGTGTCACCAAACTGGTCCAGCACGACCATGGAATCGCGATCCACCTTGACAACGCAACCCACAGTGGTCATGTCCAGCTGAACAAGATCATGCAGTTCGTATTGGCCCAGGGAGCCCTGTCCACCAATGTCACTTGCCTCACGAAGATCCTTGCTGAAGACAGTCACTTCGTTGTTGGTTTGATCCGTCAATAGAGTCACTTTGTCCTCGGAAATTTTGACCACAGTTCCGACTTCGTCCTGGAATCTGCTACCACCAATCACCTTGACGTGGTCACCAACCTTGAAGCGCTTGCGCAAGCCCTTGATTGGAACCTCGATCGTTTGGCCCGCCAGGTCACCTTCAGTTACAGTCATGGTGACAATATCACCCTGCACATTGGTTGCCTTGCCGACAACGCCTTTCTGTTCGCCCGAGTAGACTTCAATGACATCGCCAGGCAGGTACGTAACCTTCGTGTTGCTGTCTTTGAGACTGGCCGCGAGCGCCTTCAAGTCGAGGTTCTCCGTACCGTCTTCAGCGCCAGAGGCAAACCGCGTCACTTCTTCGAGTGTAGGATTCACGTCGGTAAGAATCAGTTGCTGAATCTTGACGTCCTTGACCTGGAATCCGTTCTCAAACTCGTCACCCATGTAGGTCCATGTGTTTGTCGTCGGATTACCCTGAATATAGCGAGGGTGGCGCTTGCGGGCCTCAACTTCGCTGAAGAGGCGTTGCGGGGGCTTAGGGCCAGCTCCGAATGCTCGCTTTCTCTTTCCGTCTTGCGTCATATTGTCATCGCGCACGCCGTAATCAAGTCGTGGGATGAAACGGACTCGAGCTTCTAGGCCATTTTCTGTCACAGCCAGGACCTGGGCAAGATCGCCATTGTGCTTGATGGGGCGGCGCATTCGGCACCACGCGCCGGGCTGCAGAGTGGCCGTCTTCGTTACGCGCAGAAGCTCAGGCATGTCCTTGATGTCGACGAGCGTCATCTTGGTTCGCGGGTAAACGTTCAGGACACCGTCGAGAGCGACGAGAATATCAGTCTGGCGTTGGGCCTCGATGTAGACAATGCCCTTCATGACAGAGTGTGTGCCACCGCGTTCAAAGGCAGCCGTAATGGCGAGTTCGCCCTTGCTACCCATGCGCTCCTCGATGCGCTTCATGATGGAAAAGACAACCTCGCGCTCCTTGCCTTCCTTGCATCGCACTGCCCAAATACCGGGATCATCAACGCTGGGGAGAAGCAGGCGCTTGGGAACAACAGCGGATTCGCCAGCGCCCTTTCCAGAGCGGTACTTGGCATAGCGCTGTCGGTAGAGCTCGGCTTGCTTTTCGGCGTCCAAGCTCGACTCCATGTCGCGACGGCGATCGAGCTCTCGGTGGCGACGATCATCGTTGAGGCGGGCGGTATCGGCAAGGTCGTCGGGATGCTCATTGTCGATGAAGTCGCCAATTTCTTCATCCTCCTTTTCGTCGTCCTCAGCCTCATCTTCGTCATCTACTTCAGCTTCGATATCGAGGAAAGCGTTACGGCGGTCGCGACGGCGCTTTCTGCGATGACCCTTGGATAGTGTTAGCAAGATAAAGACGTGTTTTTTTTAGGCAATAGTTGTACCCTTTGCACGTCGTCTTCATCATCCTCGTCTTCCTCCTCTTCTTCATCGTCATCGTCGTTCTTGCCCTTGGGACCATCGTCTTCATCCTCCTCCTCTTCCTCATCATCATCTACGGGTTTCGGGCGCGCCGGCGACGTGTTGTCATCTTCATCTTCATCGTCATCGCGAACGGGGGTTTTGCGACGTTTCTCTGGCTCCTCATCAGAGAGGTCAGCGGGAGCAGGGTTGAAGTCCTCCTCGTCCGACGAGTCATCGAGCCGAGGGTCGTTGGATGCCATGATGAAATCAACAGCCGGTAGCGTAGCCCTCGAGATTTTCGATGCCAGAGACTGTGTGCGGGCGGCGGGAGGTTAAATGGTGGTGCACCTCTGGGCGATGTGGCTCTGGCATGGCAAGAACAAGATTGCTCGTTGGCGCTGCGACGGCGAAATGCGTACGCCGGCTAATTATCGGGTGTCACCAACGTCCTGCGCCGCGACGCGATTGTCTTGCATATCAACTCACGTGTAGAAGTAGCATAAGAAAAGTCGAAATAGTAAAAAGAGTTAAACGATTTGATGAGACAGACTCATTTTGATCTTTTAAGATCGCGGCGGGTGTTCTTCTTTAGCACATGGGCCGTTTCTGGATGGACCTAGTATGTACATATCTGAACGCCTATATGGCTACAGCTAGCCATGTATACTTGATCCGCTCCAACTTACCCGACCATTACCGAAACGCTGAATTATATTCTCATTCATAGTTGTCATCTACGACTTGTGAGTATCCAAAATGAAGGCCGTATTAATAGACAAGTTCTGCGACACGCTCAACGAAGTTCGCGTGTCAGAGGTTCCGAGCCCAGAAGCAACAGGAGACAACATTCTTATCCGAGTCCGAGGCGTCGGCGTCAATTATGTCGATACTCTCTATGTAAGTTTGCAAACATCTACTTCTAAATCAATCAACTGCTGAAACTTCAAGGCTCGCGGAAAACACCAAAATAACAAGAGACATGTGACTCCCCCATTCATCCTCGGCCTCGAGTTCGCCGGCATCGTCATCTCCGCGCCAGCCGACTGCGAATTCCAAAAAGGCGACGCCGTCTTTGGCGACCACGCCGGAGCCTACTCTGAAGTCATTTCCATCCCGCGGGAGCAGATTCCGTCGCTGCTGCACGTTCCCGAGGGCTGGCCTGTCGAGGCCGCTGCCGGGCTCGCCGCCACGCTGCCCGTGGCCTACGACGGGCTAGTTGGGGCGGGCCGGCTGCGAGCCGGCGAGACCGTCCTCGTGCACGCCGCGGCCGGTGGTCTGGGTGTCATGGCGTGCCAGATTGCCGCGTCTAGGGGCTGCCGCGTCATCGGCACCGCCGGGTCCGACGCCAAATGCAAGTACGCCAAGGGCTACGGGGCGAGCGAGTGCATCAACTACACGACGGACGCGCAGTGGTGGGACAAGGTAAATTCCATGACGGGCGGCAGGGGTGTGGACGTCGTATTTGACCCCGTCGGCCTGGTAGGTCCCAGCCTCAAGTGCATGGCTGCCAAGGGTCGTATCGTGGTGGTGGGCTTTGCAGGCCTGGATGGCAACTTTGAAAAGATCGCCATGAACCGGATTTTGCTGAAGCAGGTGGAGCTCATAGGTTATGTCAGTGCTTTCATTCACAATGGCCCAGACTTATTTGCTAACGCTGTCGAATAGCGCTTTGGGCAGACTCTGCGGGACAATCCTGGAAAGCGAGCGGAAATCTGGGAGCAGCTGTATCCGATGTTGGAGTACTTGAGCATCAAGCCTACCTTGTCCGTAATGTATGAGGGGCTGGAGAGCGTGCCGAGGGCGTTGATGGACATCTCGGAGCGCAAAATCTTTGGCAAAGCAGTAGTACGACCGGCAACGGGTAGCAGCTTCAGCGTTCCCCGACTGTAGCATTGTCTTGTACAGAAAACTGGGGTGTGGATATATGTTTTTTATGTATTGAAAATCCAATGACCAACAACTCCCTATATATGTTTCCCCATGAGCACCAGAGCATAAAAAGTCGTATCCCACTCCTCACCGTTTTACAGCTTGCCACCATGCTCGGTGCACTGTGCAAATTCGCGAGCCAGCTACCTGGATGCCAAACAAAAAGAAAAGACATGACAAATATCTCCGTACCAACACGACATTCCGTCCAAAAGTCAAGTCTTCAAAACCACGCTGTGTTGTTAATTAAAGAGCAACTGAGTGGCTGTAAAGGCCTTCTACTTTGGCATTGTGGGTGGTGCTCAATTGAGGCGTGCTCCCCAAATGCCTCTTCCCGCACTCACGCCCAACCATTCGCCGTAGTCCTGGCCCTGAAGGTGTGGTGTCCAGCCCAAGTTGCCTACTTCATAATCGCATTCCCAGCTAGCAACGGGGCTTCGTGTGTTCTCCTGCGACCCATTGGCGGGAATCATTGAAGAGCCTGAGTTGATAAGGTCCCATATCAGGACTTGGCAGTCATCGCCGCCAGAGGCCAAAGTACCACGTCGGAGAGGCGACCACTCCAGACAGTTAATTGATCCGGTATGGCCGTGAAGCTCGAGAAGAGCCTGGCCGGGCTGCCGTACGTCGAGAACGCGAATGACGTTGGAGTCCTGCGCAAAAGTTGCCAGGAGATGGGTATCATGTGGGGAAGTAGCCAGACGCAGCAGAGGGGGAGGGTTAGCCATGGTTTGCTGGGCTTGTGTAGGACTGTTGCGTCCCGAGCCATCGACTGAGCGGCGTTAGCGTGATAGGTCAAAACTAGGCAGTCATCGAAATAACTTACGTCGGTCCTCCTTCGAGGTCGGTTCGTATATAATGGTAGAGTGCTCGAGGCTGCGGAGGTCAAACATGCGTACGCTGCCGTCCTGGCCACAGCTGACAAATACGTCGACGCTGTTAGCGCAGAATCTCACATCGTAGACTTCCTTGTCATGCGCAATCAGCTGCGTCTTGGCAGTCAATGAGGGAATATCCCAAATTGTGCAGGTGGTGTCGATGCTCGAGGTGATGATGAGACTGGGAGACACGGTATTCCAGTCGAGAGATGTCAGAGGAGCAGTGTGGTCAGGCGTCTTGGAGTTTGACAGGAGCGCAAGAGGTGTTAGTTTGGCGGCGGCGGGATCTCGGGGGCCACTGCGAGTAATGTTGTTTCCTGGGTTTGATGGCACGTCAGAAGGCAGCGACCAAAGGCGAAGATGGTCGCCCGAAGTGGCCAAAAGATCCGTCGACTGCTTCTGTGAGGATGGCGGCTCCCAGAGGAGACGGGTGACAGGGTACGAGTGTGTAGCTTCGGCCAGCTTTGTGAATTCGAGACTGTACTTGGAAGAGCCGGGGGTGTAGACGTCTTGAGGCGTAGGGACAACGTGCGAGTCTAGAATTTGAATCTGGTCGGGTTAGCCTGGCAAAGGCATGGAGCGAAAAGCATGACGTACAAAGTTGTGTCCATCTTCGAGATAGCTGCCGATGGCAATCTTGCCGGCACTGTTGGCCTGGGGCCTCCACTTGCACCAATCAAAGGCATAGACGGCCCAGGGTGCGAGATAGTTGCTGGGTCCAGGTTGGGCGTTTGCGACCTCGTAGCCCATGCCGCTGGGAGAGCCATCAGACATGCTCGAGTCGGCGCGGGGACGAATGTCGGCCAGGCCCAATGGGGTGTTTGCAATGTTGCGCTGGGAGCCAGGAGGACCGTATTTGGCGGCATCGGGGGTCGAGGCAAACTGCGACGCGGAGCCGCCAGGCGTGGTGGGCGTGTAGGCATGGTACGAGGTCGAGGAAGCCGCGTCGTAGCCGGCTGCGGGGCTGGAGCGCGAGTAGCTGTGGGAGAGGCTCAGCGGCGGCTTGCCGGCAGGCGAGTAGTCCTGCATCGGGGACTGCTGCTGGACCTGAGAGGATTGCTGAAGGGCATGCATGCCGGGCAGCTGGGGGGTGGTGTTGGAAGACATTGGGTGCGGCCGCGATGCCATGCCACCAGGCTGGAGGATGTTGGGGACGGCCGAGATGGCGGCGCTGGCGCTGGCGCCGGCGCTGGCAGTGGCACTCGCAGAGAGACGCGGGAGCGGCGCAGACAGTGCTGGCGGTGCGTGGTCGAATCGGGTCTGGGGATGATAGTCGCGGAGGGGAGCAGCCGACATTTGCGAACCGGCGGCCATGTGCAGCTCGTCGTGGGAGCCATCGTAGCGCCCCATGGCGACTGGTGGTCGCGCCGCTGGGGGCGCCTGCTGTGATTGGCTCATTGGACTGGCTGGCGGAGGGATGGATGGATGGGGATGGGGGGCGAGCAGTATACTCTCTGGTGAGACGATGGCACCTCTTAACGTCTCAGCTCTGCAGAAACGGGCAGAGCCTTGTGTCTCCAGTCTCCAGGAGCAGAGCGGGACGCAGTCTGTCTGCAGCTGGGCCAGCCCAAGTGTGGTGGATGGTGGATTTGGCTGCACGTCGTCGGCGGCGGCTATGTTTGCTTGCGATGAAAAAAGTAATGACAAAGCAGGTGCCGACTGGTTGGCAGATTGCAACTTGATGGATGGGGCTGTGCCTTGGGCAAAAACACGCAAGCTGGTCCTTGTCCGTGTCGTGTCGAGGCCCTCCTTGTCCTCTCCCAATTCTTGGTACACCGTACTTGATCGTCCTCGTCGGTATACAGTGGGCCGCGAATCATGCCGGGCGAGTCACCACCAAATTGTCGTAGGAGGAAAAACCGGGCATTTGGGGCAGTAAAAATAATACATAATACCATCTCTCTTTTCCTAGCCGCGATTTGTTAAGGCAGTAGCAGCCCCGCGCCGGGTGGAGGTGTTGACGCTGCACCAGCAACGTCGTTAGCATCATCACCAACCTCCTCTCATGGTCAACCTGTCACTCGCAAGCTACCCCCTGGGTGCTTCTGTAGAGGCGCGGTGCTTAATTTTCTTTCTCCCTTTTATTTTTTCCTTTCCTTGTCCGCATCGACAACTATCAATCAGTGCGGTTAACCAGCGCAGGTTAGTGTCCGCCCAGCTCTCGGCTCAAGATGCTGTCGCGAACCAACCCGTAACATAAGTAGTGCCCTTGCCACTACATGGCAAATCCGCCGCCGCCGACGTTACGCACAAAATGGCTGCATTCTACGACAATGAAAATGTCTTCTACTTCCGAACTGATACCCATCCTTGTCCAAGTCTACTACGTAGTCAGATGAGGTGCGCCAGCAATCCAGCGGGCTGAAGTGCGTCCTCTGGAATAAGACAAAAAGACGAAAGGAAAATAAAAATAAAAAGGGTACGAAAGATTCTACGAAGTCTATTATAATAATAATCAAGAAAACAAAAGATCACAGAAGATAATAGCCCTACTAACCGGCGCTTCATTTTGTCTCCCTGGTGCCTAAGTAGGTACCTAGCACTAGCCTTGGCGGTGGGCGGGCACGCGTAACTGCAGGAGATATCTACATACACTACCTAGGTAGGTAAGTAAGGTGGTAGGTAGAGGCACATGCTGCTTCCTACCACCCCAAAGCTGGCCGCGTGAGCATTTTTGTCCAACCGTCACGAAGTGCCATTGTGTCTGTCTCAGACCCTGTTTTGCTCTTTGTGATAATTACTGGTGATTGAATGATGCTCTGATACCCACGACCGTGCCCGTCCCGTCCGCAGCACGTCGTACCCACGACCAACTGACGAACATGTCCAACTCGTCCATCCTCGATCGCATATCCAGTCCAACTCTGCGGTCCCCCATACTGTCGACTTTTCGCAGCCCCCCAGCGCGGTCATCGACCGAATACCAACTTCACGAGCTAGACCCAAGGCCGGAATACCCCGACATGTCGCGAGACTATACCTTTGACGGCGACGGGCATCACACGCCGGCCTATAGAGACACGTCGACCGATGGCTGGAGCAACGATGCGCCCAGCTCAGCTGGCTCGCCTTCGACTCCGAAACGGCGAGCCATGTTCCACGGGCCCCCTCCTCCTATTGCTGCCTCTTTTATGAAGAGTAATCGATCCCAAGGAAGCTCTGATGCGGGCCGCTCGCAGGGAATCATCGCCAACAGTACAGCCCAGCTCGGCAGCCTTTTATTCCAACCACCTCGTCAGCCGAACAAGATACGCCCAGACCCTGCATGGCGTGCATTTGGCCGCAGAGAAAGAGCCATCGAGCAGGAGATACAGCAGTTGCTCGATCTTCAGGCCACGGGGTTAGTCGCTGGCAGCGGTCGACTGCCAGACGATGGCGACGACTATAGCGGCACTGGTTCCAGCACACCCACGGGGACCTTTTACTCAACCGCAACGTCAAAATCGAGAATGACCAACTCGCTGCATGTGCCGGCTCGATCGACCAAAGACGGTAATGTCATGCCAGTACGACAACCCGTGGGTGGGAAACCTCTCGGGCTCAGATCGGCCAGAGCCGGCTTGCGCAAAGCCATGGCGGCCCTGGTTGAACTCAAACGAGAAGAAGACGCACACGTCGATGCAGCACTATCAGAACGCAAAAAGGCCCTCATCCACTTGTCCCGATTATCTGCGCGACAAAACGGCGTCAATAGTGAGCTTCACGAACTGGAAGAAAACCAAGAAGAGCCTCTCGGCAAAGAGATCCGAGAGCTGGGATCGAAATATAATTCTCTTACACAGGAAATCAGACAGCTAGAGGAGAGGCTCATGGCCATGCGAAATCAGCGCAAATTTGTCAGGGACAAAATGGAAGATGCGCAAGCCCGACGGGATGCTGGATTAAGCGGTTATCGCGGGGCGCTCAAAGATATCGATGCTGAGCTTCAATCGATGATGATGCATCCCTCAATCCAACCCCTTGACCCAGAGGTTTTCTCCCCGCCTAGCTCTCCCAGCAACGATGGTGAAAGCTTGGGTGGTGTCGAATTTCTAGGACTCATTCCTGAGAGAAGAACACCCGCCATGGCCACAGCCTGGTGGGAGAAGGAGGTCAATGTACTCGATCAACGCAGACGGCAGATTAGCAAAGAAAGGCAAGCGTTGGAGGATGGCAGTTTTGTCTGGCGTGAGGTGACGAAGCTTGTGACACGCTTCGAATCAAGCTTGCGGCAGGTGATGAAGACTGGTGCATCACAAGCTCCAGCGTCGTCCAAGGGCAAAGAAAAGGTGCCCTCGCAAGAAAATCTCATCCGAGATCAGCTGAGCAAGATGGATGATGTTGTCGCGCAGCTGGAACGGTGTTTGGGCCAGGCCGAATCGGAGGGGTGGAACCTGCTAGTATGCGCCATTGGTGCGGAGCTGGAGGCGTTTCGCGAAGCTCAGGATATGCTCAAGAGTTTCTTCGAAGAAGCTCCTTCAAAACAAAACTCTCTTCGGAAGGAGGAAAACCAGGAACCCCAACATGGAAGCCAAGCGGTGGATGAGAGCGACAACGATGTTCCCCCAGATCTGCTGGGATCCACTGGTGATGCATCCAAGACCAAGACGCTTGACGTCGATGATGGCGTGGCCACGGCAGAGCTGAGGAGGGTTGAGAGCGAGAATGACGTGCCACTTGAATTCCTGGCTGAGCTCGCAAACGAGGAAAGTGTATTGTAGAGTTTGTTTCACGATTTTGTACGAAATTCCCTGCCATTAGCGACAAAGCATACTGAATATTATATAATTTTACTTATTCTCACATGTCAGCTTTCCTCGATTCTACAGTTTCCACAACTACCAAGCTGCCGTGGTTAGGAGTGGTTTGCTCGCTGCGTAGTTCTCTAGACTTGTGAAAATGCACTTGGGGAAGAAGCAAGTGAACAGAATAACTCCATATCTCGTAAAATGGTCCTAAGCTTTGCGTACATGTGGTTTGAAAAAAAGAGAAGTTCCCAAAAACGCCGGAATAACAATATACTATGGCACACGACCGCCCGACACCCGCTATTATCCGGTCCTGCTCATACGCAGAGGCTCGGCCGGGGCGGGTATGAAGAAGCACATCACGCGGCGGTCATGGCAGCCCAGGGGGAGGGGTGTAAAGTTGAGTAGCGAGGGTTCGATGCACAGGTCCCAAGATGTCCTCCTTGCGCCGTTCCGGGCCGCCCGCCCCTCGGTATCTACCGCGTGCGCTCAAAGAAGCTGCTCGAGCCGGCAATGGCCACGGACTGGTCCATGACCCATTCGCCGAGGCCGAGGTACTTGTCGATCCACTTGTTGGCCTCTTTGTTCTCGCCCGCGACTTTTTCCGTCTTGAAGCTGCTCACGCTATCTCATTAGCCCAGGTCGCCCATCTTCGTCGGGCAGACAAGCAGCGGGGGGGGGTTGTCGTTGGGGACTTACGTCAAGCCGGTCGATCGCTTCATGCCTGCAAGAAATGCAGAGACTGCGGTGCATTTGTTAGATGTTTTTTCTGCGGGAAGGAGGGCGGGTTGTTCACGTACTGAGGACAGCGTCAAAGGCATAGTGCGTCAATCGTCCGACCTTGGACCATAATCCAAACGTCAGTAGGTTGAGGAGCTGCAAGAGAAGGAAGACCGTCTTAGACAAGATGCCCCAAGCCAAAAGGAAAGAAATGGGCTGCGTGAACAAGTCATTCCAGAGGAAGGGAGACGTGCGTCAGGACGGATGGGGTGCCCGTTTCAAGCCGCTTTTCGCGATGGGATCGCAAGCTCCGTGAGACACAGGGCGGCCACAAGGGGGTATGGGGGAGGCAATCTACTTACAACCATGTTTTCGGTAGATGTGAAGAGTATGGAGTGGCAGGTCGGGATTTTGATCGTTTCGTTGAACTGTAGTCGAGGTTCGAGATGGCGTGAGGTGACGATGGGCGGTTGCGTGGGCAACCCTTTGTCAGGCGGAGGCTGCGGCGGGTTGACGGCGCCGAAAGTGGGTAAGTCGAGCTGTTGCTTGGAGCTTCGACTGTGTGGCACGTGCAGGTTTTGGTTGTGGCTGGTGATGTGGCACAGCACAGCCAGGAATTGGATGTGGAGGGACCAAGGCTTGCTTTAACTACACAGAAGGTAGGTAGTTATTCTTTTCCAGCCAAGCCCCGATGTAAAACAACTTATAAGGAATCAGTACAGCAACGACGTAGACACAAACGATTACCAGCCGGCGCGCAAAACCGGGCAGCTAATGATTTTATGAAAACTTGGTAAAAACAGAGAAAGGAACAGGCACCGAATAGAGAACGAGCAAATAGTCGTCTTATAGGGTAGCACCAAGCCCTTCGACAACTCAACTCGAAGCATCGCACACACCGCCAACACACCTGGAGGCTGTTGAACGGTGAATAAAATACAGCATTTTCATAAATGTGATTTGGCAGTATTAGTGCGATGGCCTTATCGCGCGATCCATAAAGGCTTCGTTTTTGCGGCCGGATCGATCGGATTGGGTAATAGTGCTACTGAACTTCCGCGCTGGAACTCCTCGCTCATAGAGCTCGTCAAGTTCGAGGTAGGTACGTCCACGTGTCTAGCCAGGTATTAGATCAGGCAACTGCTAGTATAAAAATTCTCAAGAAAACATACCTCGGGATAGTATATATACAGAACGATGATGGTCGGGACCAAAACGCCTGCCCACACGTAGATGGCTTTTACACCCAGGTTGGCCTCGTCGGGGCTGATCATGTACGGGATGGTCCACTGGAAAACAACGCTGTATTGGTCAGGGCCTGTTGGGGTGATGTTATCTAGCTGACTTACAAAACAACACCGTAGACAAATAAATTGAACGACGTTGATAGGGCCCTGAGTCGAGGGGTCGACACCTCGCCAGATGCGACGAAGCCAAGGGGCCCGGCTGACAGCCCGTAAGATATAACCCACAGTAGCAGCATGGCCAATGCAACTTTTCCAGATGCTTGCGACGTAAAAAAGCCTGTTGTTGCAAGGCCAGTGTTGAATAAAAGCATGGCCGTGCATCCACTACCCGACACATTAGCGACGCACGCGAAGAGCAAGGCAGCAAACCCACCCGATTAACAGCGGTCGCCTGCCAATGTGCTCACACAAGAAAAGAGAGACCAAGATGCCTGCGATGAGCAGAATGAAGCTAAAACACGTTAGGCATAGTACTACCCCGGGTTCACAGAGGGAGGGATAGCGGGCGTACGTACGTGACGACTGTCACCAAGAAAGGGTCGTCGAGGTGCGCCACTTGGAAAAAGTACTATTTATTGTTAGTGAGCGTCTCCCTTGCTGTTATTTCATGGAATTGTTACCGTGGAATAGGTGAAAACAATTGGTGCACCAGATAGTGGTTGTGCCATGATGCCACCGGCTCCTGCCACGGTTCGCTTCCAATTTGCACCTCTGAATAAGTCACAAAACGTGACTCCCTCTAGAAGGTGGTTAAGCCTCCTTTCGACTTCAATACCGTGCTGGATCACCTTGTATTCGTATTCCTGTTGGTGATGAGACGTTGATCGTTCAAATACGAGTCCATGTGACTGCTTACCACATCATAATCAGGGACGTTCCCATACAGCTGCAACATACACTTCTTGGCCTTATCATGACGGTACTTTCGAGCGTGATAAATAGGCGACTCCGGAACAAAGGGCATAGCAATCGCGAGGATCTAATCGCATGTCAGTCAAATCGGTGAGAGCGCAATACGGACAAGACCAACACCAGTAAATAGAAACTCGGTGGCAATCAAGAACTTCCATTGGTGAGGATTCGACGTCGTCATGATCTTGGCTGCAATCGCACTGATGAGCTGCCCGACGCCGAGAAACAGCTGGTAGGATCCAACCGCAAGACCACGAATCTGAAAGGGCGCAATCTCTGAAACGTAGGTGATGAGGCAGCTTGTTGTCGAGCCAACTCCAAAGCGAATGAGGCAGGCGGCTCCAAGCCAAGACCTCCAATCATGCGCGAGGATTTCCGCTAGGGATCCTGCCAAAAGGATCCCGATGGAGATGTACATGGTGCCTCTGAGTTGCCCCCCACGTTAGACAACATCATCTATGCATTTTATTTTTCTGCAAAGCTTACTTTCGGCCACATATGTCGGCGAGAATGCCTCCGAGTGCATATCCGAACATTCTGGACATTTCTGCGAACCCTTGAAAGTATGAAATGACCTGGGCGCTGATAGCCGGTTCGCCGTCGATCACCGTGTTGGCCATTTGTTTGACGAAGGCTGGCATGGGCATGACATTTCCCGGGATTTGTTGTTGAAACTGTTGTCAAAATGTGAGCGTGGAATGTGAGAGTGATGAGCGTTGCATGAGCCGACTGACACCGTCATCGAGCGCGGCCCAATTGAGGATCATGCAAAAGAGCATGGCCTTCCAAAATACATTGACGGTAGCCCACCGACCCAGTGCTGTATATCCTAGTGTCAACACAGAGCTCTCAGATTTTTTTGGGCTGTAGCACAACATACCAGCGTACTTGGTTTCCAGAACCGTGCCATCGCGGTTGACTTGAAGATCATCCATATGCTGTGAGCCAACTTTTTCCTCGGCTAGGTCTCGTGAAGCCGGACGGCCGGACAACTCAACGAGGGGAGAAGACGTGTCTTGAAATGACAATTCGCGTAATATTCACAACGTGGAACCGTCAACTGCGAGAAGCCCGCAGGCATGCATTGTAATAGTATTTATATTGAATCGGCCTTGGGCTGCCCGACCCACCGTAGCTGTCTCAATTGACGATATTATTACTGGATATGTAGTTACATATAGGGTATTACAAGTGTAATAGCGCCATACGCGCTATTGTGCGGATAACTACTCCGGTCCAATCATTTTCATCGCAGTGGTTCATGGGTATATGGCCACAGTTCATGGTGGCTGCCGGACGACTGTATTCCGGGACTACCAACTCTACATCATTGCTCCTGCGGCCGTCCCCGGAATACTGTATTGCGAGACTGGTACAGAGCACGGATAGAATCTGCATAATTCCTTGCCGCTGCTGGCTGTATTTAGCGGGTAGGAATGCATCCCTCCCCAACCGCACTGCAACGATTGAAGATTTAGCGTAACTTATTTCACAAAGAAAATGGAGCATGACTTGGCCCAGACGACAAGGGTGCTGCGGAAGCGAGTCGAGCATTCATCAGAACGGCAGAAGCAATCCCTCAGAAACGCATCTTGATTGCCATGGCGGGAGTGCCGGGGTCTGGCTAGTACACCATCTCGGAAGCGCTGGGTCTACTCTGTAAACTTGGCCAAGCGAGATGTTATTTCTCAGATGGGTCCCACCCAACTGGCTGACTCAGCCTTGGGAGAGGTTCTAGCCGGACATACAATTAATCCTTTCCTAATCGGGTTGGATCAGGGAGATGTGCCCAACTTGGCTTCGTCCAGCGAAGCCTGCCCTTGTTCACTTGTTTTGTGCAATGGCGTCCCGCCCGTGAAGCCAGATCTCAAGACGCGGACGTACTTTGGCCCCTACCATTTCGGTTCGTTATTGCGTCAAATCACCTCACTTTCCTTCACTCGCAATTTTGTCGCCAATATGAGCGACCCAACAGATCTGGCAAAGCTGCTGCAACAGCTGCGCCAGGAGAAAGAGCTACGCCAGCAAGCCGAGGACAAAAACAAGCAACTAGAGGAGAAAAACAAGCAAGCCGATGAGAAAATCAAGCAAGCCGATGAGAAAATCAAGCAAGCCGATGAGAAAATCAAGCAAGCCGAGAACGAACGCGATCAAGAACGAAAGAAAACTCAGCCTCTGACACTGGACGAGTTTCTCGAGGCGTCCCACAACCTTGTCTATACGAAGCTCTCAGTTGAGACGGACCCCTCCAAGACCACGACAGGCAACTTGACTGCGTACGGCAAAGCCGTTCCAGCTCATCTCCGACCATGGTCCAGTTTTCTGGTCGAGCAGACAAGCATACTGAACACTCTTTTCGAATTCTTTCCACTTGAAAGGCGACTTTTCGACCATCGAAGTTACTTATCGATCCTTGGCAGCAAAGTCTCCAAGGCGCCGATCGCTAATGAGAAGATGCTGGAAAATTTCCTTCATAACTGTGTCGAGGACCCAGTCAGGTGCATCGTGCATGAGCTAAGCCAACTCGAACCTCTTCGACAAAGATTAGGCATTGGTTTTGGCATCAACTTTGAGAATCACATGAAAGCCATCAATGATGAAGCCTACCAAGTTCTCGAACAAGAACGCCAGCAGTTTCCGCCCCCGCGGCGGCTGCATGAGGAACCGGAAGAGGCCGAGGTCCAGGTGCCGAGGACACCGAACCCGGAAACAGATCTTCCCAAGCTGAATCCCGATCAAATCTGCGTATACCGCTACGACGAGCAAGGCCGCGAAAGAAGGAGTGTGATCGCTGTTGCAGAGTATAAGGCACCGCACAAGCTCACCCCTGTACAACTTCGCGCTGCCCTAGATACACTGCCAGCGATGGACATTTTCGAGGATGTCGTCTGCAAGAACAAAATCCCTACAGACGCCGATGCCAAGTTCCAGCACTATGCAGAGGAGCTTACAGCTGCTGCTATTACTCAAACCTACAACTATATGATTAGAGCTGGACTTCGTTATAGTCTCTTGACGACAGGCGAGACTATTGTTTTTCTCAACATTGACTGGGACACTCCAGAGATTCTCTACTTCCATTTTGCCGAGCCTGGACTCGAGATAAAAACTCATGGCCAGTTCCGCTCATGCACGGCCGTAGCCCAGTACCTGGCATTTCATCTCTTGGCCCTCGGCAACCGCCAGCATATCGTTCAAGATCGTCGCTCGAAAGCGTTCAAGGCGCTCAATAAGTGGAAGATGGATTTCCGGCACACCGCAAGCACAGTCAGTCCCGACGCGAAAATACCATCGTCGAGCAAATCCAACAGCCACGCGCCCCGTGACTATCGTGATGTTGACAGGTCCATCACAGGAATAAAGCGGAAAGGGGGACCGGAGTCGGGAAACAGCCTGCCGGTGAGACGACGATGGAAAGACGATGGCGACGACGAGGACGACGAGGACTGGCTACCAGGCTCATCGGACAATGCCAGTTCCAGTCCTACAGAGCGCAGGGGTAACCGCATTCGTGAGAGGAGAGCCAACGGGGAGAATGATGGGCGTGAGAGGAGAGCCGACGGGGAGAATGATGGGCTTGAGAGGAGAGCCGACGGGGAGAATGATGGGCGTGATAGCCACAAAGGGCGTGATAGCCACAATATGCGCGATACGCACAACGGCCACAGCGACCACAACGACTACGATAGCCGCAACAACCATGATAACCATGATAACCACGATAACCATGATAACCACGATAACCGCAGTACGCACGATAACCACGATAACCGCAACAGCGGCGATAGCCACAACAACATACCACCTCGACCTCAAGACTCCGACTACTGTACACAGAAATGTCTCCTCGGTCTAGTCAGGGGCGAAAACCTCGACTTAAACTGCCCCAACCTGGCTCGTCACTGCCAAAACGACGGCACCAGAAACCAAGGCAATCGCCATCCTATTTCCCACGACGAATTCCAGCGACTGCTCGCCGTTCAGCTAGGAGAAACGCTTGATAATGGCATCACGCCTTTGGACATCGAGGGGGCTCGAGGCGTTCTGTTCCAAGTATCCCTTACTGCGTACGGATACACTTTCATCGGGAAAGGAACAACTGTCATATATATACCCTTTCAAAAATATGAAGAGAGGGTTTATAAGCGACTCGAACCACTCCAAGGTATTCATGTGCCTGTTTTTCTTGGCGCCATCGACCTGCGCAGTGTAGACAGAATGTACTTTTACGCCGTCCGGGTCGATATCGTCTACCTGATCTTCATGTCGTGGGCGGGCGTGCATCTTCGAACGTTGTCCCGCAGCCAGGTAGGCGATGACCTGTCGTTGGAGGACTCCGCCGTACAAGCTATGAAGGCGGTTCATCAGGAAGGCGTGGTGCACACAGATGCCAGAATGGAGAACATGCTGTTCAACCCACACACCCAGCGCATCATGGTGATTGATTTTGAGCGCGCGCACGTTCTTCCGAAACCTCATCGGCAATTGTTGGCCGCTAAAAAGCGACAGCGAGTTGAGTGTGGCAGTAGATTTACCAATGACATTGTAAGTGTAAAAGGAGTATTCCATTAATCAGTGTGTGGGCGAATTACATTCCCACAGCCGTCGATAGCCCAGTGATTAGAGAATCCCGGAAAAGCTCAATCAGTTTGTTTCTATTTAGATAGCTTTTCCAACATGAATCAATCAAGGCAGTACTTATGACTTGTTTATGTACACATTGGTTGTCCCGTGCGGTTGTCGTTGCTGACAACCAAGGTGATAAAATCGGCATGACAAGACTTCGCCCGTTACAAATTGTGGCGAGATGTCCTGATGTACTCCATCCTCAAGGGGCCTGGAAGAAAATCACCTGCACAGTTATGTCGTCTCGTACATAGCGGCTGATCGGTGGGGTCGCCGTTAACGCTCCTGCCACCATGTACTTGTGCCTGCCACCGAGAACGTTCTTGAGCAGACACACTGCCGCGTTGTCCAAATCTTCAATGGCAAAGTCCTCCGGTCGCGCCGTGCGGCTCAGAGAGCCGTCCTCGTTGACATCGTACCGAGACTCGCGCGACTCGGCCACCCTCTCCGTCGTGCCCGCGCGCCGCGCCGCGACCCAGCGCGACACGCACTCGACGGCATCCTCGTTGCTGATGGCCTCCCAGAGCCCATCGGAGCCGAGAATCACAAAGTCGCGCGGCCCGACGACGCGCGTCGTCATCTCTGGGGACGCCGTCATGTACGGTGGTGTCTTGGACTTGCCCAGGGGCCGCGGGCCGTGGCAGTTGCCCCGGGCTTGCATGACCAGCTCGGCGGGCCACTTCCATCGATGGTCCCCAAAGGCCCTCGTGACCCCCATGGCCAGAAGGGATCGCGAGGCCGTATCCATGATATCGTCTGCTTCTCCGGGGTGCGCGGCCGCGATGCGTGCATACTCTTGCTCGTTGCACACAGTCTGGTCCTGGCTCAGTACGTCAACCAGCGGCTTGTCGAGCTCTGGAGACCACTGCGCCCTCACGGCTCGGGAATCGCCGGCGAGCGCGATACGTAGAGTCGCAGAGCTGGGCTCGTACACGAGAAGCAGTGCGCATGAGCCAGCAAATGCAGGCGCCATGGCGACACGCACCTCGGCTGTGCCAGCTGGGTGACCTGCGGCAAGCGCCGTCTCAGCAATACCCATGATGCGGTCATCCAAGCTGACAAAAGCCTTTCGGATAGCGTCTTCGACGCTGGCAGGATCGTTTTCTGTAGGTAAACTAGCCAGTGCATTGGCCACGTATGGAATGAGGTTTTTACGAAGGAACTCAGAGGTTTCGATCCCACTGCGAAAAGAATCAGCGGCTCAGACCCTATCTCTGAGGCCCGTGTTCTCTTACTTGTGTCCATCGTAGATTCCAGCATACAGTGTCTCCTGTCCAACTGTCCCTTTCACAACGCCGACATCCCAACGATCCTCTGACGGGAGTTTAGTCCCAAGACTGACCACATCCACACGGCCCAGGCAATCGTCCGCAACGTTGAAAGAGAAGGAGTCGGCACCCTCGCGGATCTTTGCGTCGGCTTCTTCATAACTCAGTGGCTTGAGAGGTGAAATCACGGAAATGGGTTCTCCTCCTGGCACAACCTCAACAGTCGGGGCCGCTCTTGGAGCATTCTTCATCTCCTTGGCGATGATGTTGTCAGACATGATTTCGAGGGCGAAACGGTTGGGTAGTAGTTCAACCTCGGTCGGCGGGGTTGGATCTTATTCGCAGAGTGAATCTTGGCCCTTGGCCTTTTATACCCCGTCGTTTTCTTGGTGCGTGCGCGTTCAGTCTGCTACCTGCAGAAAGAAGCTTGTACTTTGCCGAGAACAGACAAGACCGGCTGGCCCATCATCGTCGTTTATTAGTTGCCGATGGGGATGACAAAAGTGCCCTACTAAAGCAGAACGGATTGGGCAGCAAGGCTAGTCAGCAGGTGGGAAGATGCAAAGGAACAAAGAAATTCGGCGGACAATGCCAACGCCACATAGCCTGATCCATGTAGCAGTGTGACATGGTAAGTCAGTAAGAAGCAACCCCCGAATAAACGTTATGCACATTGGACTTTTTCCTTCAAGTAACTGAATTATAAAGTCCTCACTTACCGCACGCATACTGCCAGAAATAGCAAATCACATGCCTGCGCGTCCCGGTTCTTGCTTGCGTTATTCACAGTCCTCCCAATTAGCCCCCCCCCAGAGACCACATTTCTGACTTCTGTCAAGGCTCAATAGAAGAGCGTGCCTGTTTTCAAAATACCTCGTTGTATGGGGTGCGATTGTAGGACTTATCGCGGCTGCTCCGAGGTATTGAGCGGCCAGCCTCTTGCTGTATACCGTTTCCATGTCTAGACAAGAGGATGGATGGCGCAGGAACACCTCTGTGTGTGAAACGGTCGATTTTGACTCCTAGACTCAATCCTCCCAGGGTGCGAATCGCCTCCCTTTTTTTTTGGCGCAAGTATGAATTGGTTGAAAATTCCTGCTCACTGCAAAGTTGGCATTGAAAGCCTGCTGCTTCTCATTCCACCCGACCGTCATTCAAGGTTCGAGAGTACCATAGTTATGATTGGTGGATCAAAAGAGTATTCTCGATGAACTAGCTGCGGGGAGCATGCCTGGCCTTCCCAGAAACTGTCTCGGGGCTGAGCGCCACCAGCGAAGCGAGTCACCGGTTCCCGCGATAAAACAGGCTGAGCCCATCGGCATCCGCCGCCCACCTAGCGATAACAAATCACGCCCACTACCCAAGCGCCGTGAAAAGAGGAACGCCTTTCCGTTATCTTTGATTGTCCTCTTACACATCAAAGGATCCCCGTTGACGCTAAAAGCGCTTCATGTGGATGCAGCCGTTTGTCGATATGAGTCGCCCGCTCAGGACCCTGCAAAATTTCTTCCTCTCTCAACCTCATTCCAGGCGGGAATAACAATTCGTCTCTCATAGAATCCTTCTTTTGATTCCGGCTTCAGCAGGTTTTGCCCCCCCAACAACCGCCAGGATTCAGCTGGTTTGCCTGATCATAACCGCCCCCTCCAAATCTCGGAGCCCTAACCTAGCCCATCCTACCATCTACACACATCCTCACAGCGCATTCCATCTTTTGGGCCGCGCAGCACAATGGACGAGGACCACGGCCCGCAGTCCATCGCCCCGGCGCACGCACCGCCGGGCCGCCCCCTCGGCGCCCGTCTCCGCGCCGTGCGCCGGGCCTTTACCACGAAGCAGGGGCTCATCGGCGCCTACGACTACGGCTTCCTGTTCCGGCCCAACCTGCCGTTTATGCGCCGCTCCGCCTCGCGCAGCCCCTTCTTCGCGCTCAACGACCGCGTGCCCGTGCTGCTCGCCCTGCTGCTCGGCCTGCAGCACGCGCTCGCCATGCTGGCCGGCATCATCACGCCGCCGCTGCTCATCAGCGGCGCCGCCGGCGCCAACCTCGACGCCCACCAGCAGCAGTACCTCGTCTCGACGGCCCTCATCATCTCCGGGCTGCTGTCGACGATTCAAATCACCCGGTTTCGGCTCTTCAAGTCCTCGTGAGTACAAGCCTGATGCGTAGAAGCCCCCCCCCCCCCCAAACCGACTGACCGGATCAAACAGCTACTACATTGGTACCGGCGTCATCTCCGTCGTCGGCATCTCCTTCAACCTCATCCCCGTCGCCCTCGGCGGCTTCCAGCAAATGTACGCCAACGGGTACTGCCCGTCCGCGCCCGACGGCACGCACCTGCCCTGCCCGCGCGGCTACGGCGCGCTCATCGGCACCGCGGCCCTGTGCGCGCTCATCGAGATCCTCATCTCCTTCATCCCCGCGCGCACCCTGCTCCGGATGTTCCCGCCCATCGTCACGGGCCCGACCGTCATGCTCATCGGCGTGCACCTCATCGAGAGCGGCTTCAAGGACTGGTTGGGCGGCGCCGGTCCTTGCTCGGACCCGGCGACGGCGACGGGCCTCTTCGCCGCCTGCCCGACCGTCGCCGCGCCGCACCCGCTGCCCTGGGGCTCGGCCGAGTTTTTCGGCCTCGGCTTCTCCGTGTTTAGCGCCATCCTGCTGTGCGAGCGCTTCGGGTCGCCGATTATGAAGTCGACGTCGATTGTACTGGGCCTGCTGGTCGGGTGCGTCATCGGCGCGGCGTGCGGCTACTTTGACCGGTCGGGCATCGACGCGGCCCCGGTGGCGTCGTTTATCTGGGTGCACACCTTTCCGCTGTCGCTCTACGGACCGCTGGTGCTGCCGATCCTGGCCGTGTACGTCATCTGCGCCTGCGAGGCGATTGGCGACATCACGGCCACGTGCGATGTGTCCAAGCTCGAGGTCGACGGCCCCGTGTACGAGTCGCGCATTCAGGGCGGCGTGCTGGCCGACGGCTTCAACGGCCTTCTCGCCTGCCTCATGACAATGACGCCCATGAGCACCTTTGCGCAGAACAATGGTGTCATTGCCCTGACGCGCTGCGCGAACCGCCGGGCCGGCTACGCCTGCTGCTTCTTCCTCGTCGTCATGGGCGTCTTTGCCAAGTTTGCGGCGGCCATTGTCTCCATTCCCTCGTCCGTCATTGGCGGCATGACCACGTTTCTCTTCACGTCCGTCGCCGTGTCCGGTGTCGCCATTGTGGCGCGCGGCGTTGTTTTCACGCGACGGAACCGCTTCATCCTCACCGCTGGCTTGTCGCTTGGGTACGGCGCTACCCTCGTGCCGACCTACTTTTCCCACATCTTCACGTACAAGGGCGATAACAAGTCTCTCAAGGGCTTTTATGACGCCATCGTGCTCGTCATGGAGAGTGGCTTTGCCATCACGGCGGCCATGTGCATGCTCCTCAACTTGACATTGCCTGAGGAACTGGAAGACGAGATTAGTGCCGAGGAGACGGAGCTTGAACACATCGTCAGCGCGGCTGAAGGAAAGGCACATCCGCAGAGCAATGCAGATACAAGGTAGATAGTTCAAGGTCCAGTTTTGCGGATATTTCATGTCTTTAATCTGTCCGGTGAAAGGGCAGTGAGTGGGGCTTGTATCCTTCCAATTTATGCTTCCCTGATGGAGGCCTTCTGTCTGTGGATCGACATCGGATGGAATTAATGCCTACTTGCCTGACTTCCGGGCACTGTCTCGTGGCATTTCCCTTGCTGGCTGGGCTTTTCATCTGAGATGTATCATGCATCTGCCGTACCCGGGAGGAGTCATGTCAATACCAGCCATCATGCTTCCTATGCATGTCAAAGTTTAGTCCCTGCTTGCATGAAAGCTCTTGTTTCCGGCCATTTTGTACGAGCTATCAGTTTGCCACTGCGCTCACCCGTATCAAGTCAGTTGAGTGTAGGTAAAACGAATTTTGTTATCCAAAACGAAAACTGCGCCTCCTCCACACCAGCCTCTTCTTTTATAATACAAAAGGTAAAGATGAAGAAGCGCTCATGACTCCAATTTCAAGGGTTGAGAAATTAACGAAAAAGAAAGCGCCTGGTATGCCGGATCAAGTTCCATAGTAACCCCTACCCTCCCTCCCTCTCCTGCACCCCAAACCCAGAGACGCAAGACAAACCCATGACAAGAAAAAAAACAGAATCAGACGAGCCTTCCGAGGGCCCGCATCGTCTATTGACAGTCTACATTATCGTTGGAACTCTTTCCCTTTGCGAGCGAGGACGCGCATATTGTCGAGGAACCCTTCTACAAGCTCCTGGTAGCCATGCGCCTCCCCACTCATGGCGCGACGGCCCTGCTCAATAACGGCCGCACCGGACACTTCAATTTCTAGCTCGTGCTCCTTGTCACCGCGTGACTACATCGTGTTAGCAACCGTCTTAAACGGACGTAGCAAAAGCAGGGTTGTGTAGCTTACTCCTTGCCCACTAGGCATGGTGACCTGGGTGAGGTCAATCTGGTAGTTGCCTTGCTTGTAGCTCAAGCGATCCTTGCGGCGGTCAGTGACGCCTGACGTCTGCACGCCCGCGAGCTGCTCCAGCTCCTCCACGGGGCCGTCCCAGTTCATCTCGAGATTGATGCTGATGCGGCAGTCCATGGGGCACGTGGGCATGTGAATGTCAATATCCGCCACCCTGGCCTTGACAATTTTGTTCAGCACCTCGCCAGTTTTCTCGTTGTACGTGACTCTCGCCTTGACGTTCTTGCGCGTCCCCAGCCGGGATCTAACACAACCAGGGATGCGCGCCTGCATGTCTAGCGGGAGCTCAAAGTACCTGTCGATTTCACGGCGGTGTTTGTAGTGCACCTGCACCCGCTTCTTCCCATGCGCCGAACGTGGATCCGTTTGTATAACAACGTTGTTGAGAAATTCGTTGAATGCTTTGTGGTGCGTCTGTTTTCTCCATGTCAGCATTGTGCCACACTGCACAAGACAATTGTTAGGCTTACCTCAGTCATGCTACTCTGGAACGCCACCCGACCAGTGTCACGGAGAACACACTCTGATACAATGGCCTTCTCGACGCGATGATTTGTGTCTTTGTCAATCAGAGTCCCCAGCTTTGCCTCAATTTCAAATTCAATGCCTCTGCTGTTGATCTCCTGCGCATCCTGAGCGTTAATAACGTGGATGAAGAGGAAATCTGCAACGGTTCGTGACAGTTCTTCGTATGGTTTCACACCAGTGACGCTGGCTTCCCAGGGCCCGAGAAACTCTTGTGGCCCCGGAAGTTCAGAAGGGGACTGCGCTCGGCTCTCCGCAGCGACGATTCGGCTTTCCGCAGCGACCGGCGTGCGAGTGCTACGAGAATCCTTCGCGTTACCTGGCGCCGATGAGTGAGGGCGATGTGGCATAGCATAGTTTGCATTCTTTGGCAAGGCCTTGCCTAGTGTGCGGAGACTGAGTGCCCACACAGGAGGTTCTGACCGACACACGCGCACAACATCTTCGTCTGGTTCTGACGGCTCAGGCGTCGCTGATTCTTTAATCGTAGATGTCGACTCATCGTTGACCGTCCCGTTCGTGACCGATCCTTCGTTGATGGAATCTTCGTTGACGGCCTCCTCCTTGGTAGGGCTTTCTTTGATTGTCCCTGGTGTAAATTGATGTCGCGCCGCCCGTTGTGGCTCGTTCGTCTGCCCATTGACTTCCCCAGGGGGCGGTCTCGAGTTCCTATTCTCGAGTTCGCCGGGACTCATGCTGCGATCATCCAGTTTACGCTTCGCGGGTGTAGCGACAGGTTGCTCCTGCTTAACACCTACCATTCTCGTGGACTGGTCTGCTCTGGAGTCGCCCTCAGAGGTAGATGGGCGGTGGTCGGTACTGCTTGGCAAAGATCCAACCCGTGTTTTGGGACTGATTGACATGCTGTGATCTCGCTCGCTTGTCGATCTGCGCTTCGCGCTTTCGGGGCGCGGCGACTCGCGGTTCGGCTGAGATGGAGGAAGTGGGTGAGAAAGACGATGTTGTGGTTGATGTGGATGCGACGGGCCGTTTGGAGACGGGTGGGCTTGTGCAACAGTAGCACCCCCGGTAGAGGAGATTTTGTGCTGGTAAGGACTTGAGGGCTGACTGAAAGGGGGAGGTCCTTGCGAGTTCGCACTTGATGGGTTTGCACTATGCGGTTGGCTTGGAGGGCCGGGAGGTTGTGAAGGCTGACGACGATACTCTATCGGCGTATGCTGATGCTGGGGAGCAGGGCTGCCCTGAGAGAATGGCGGGCCGTATGGATGTTGCGAGTGAGCGGATGTCGGTGTTGGCGTGGACTGGGCGGAATGAGTTCGCTGACCGTGTTGCTGCCCTGGGTGCCCGATTGGCGGTGTTTGAGGAATTGAGGGATGTGGCAGATATGGTGTCGTCGGCTGAGCTTGCGGAGGAGGATGGCTGCCGTGACGCTGGTGCTGCTGGTGAACGTGATGGGGCGGAGGCTGGTACTGCGCTGGAGGGTACTGATGTCGTTGGCTGGGGCTTCGGATCTCGTGAGGAGGTTGATTTGGAAAGTAGCCTTGAGGTGGACCATGCACTGGACCAGTTGCTGAGCTCACTGAGTGACGATATGGCGACTGTACTGGAGGTGCGCTGCCAGGAGATCGAGGGTCCGCAAACGAACCGGGGTGACTAGCTCGAGGAGGATACGCAGCTTGGACCTGGTAAGGAGACGGTGGAGGGTACGCGCCGGGCGGGTACTGGCCACTGTGCTGTTGATATTCCGGCCCTCCGGGCTTGCCAGGTGACGGCTGAGGAGCGGGATGATGAGGAAAATCTTGATATGCGTACTGCGCATTGGCTGACGGAGGGCCACGGGGCTGGCGAGGATGCTGCTGGGGATGTTGGGGTTGGGGATGCTGCTGCTGCTGCGGCGTTGGCGGTGCCTTGGCCGCAGAGCGCTCCCCATTATCGGAAGTGTTGAGTACCGAACGAAGGTCCATTATCGCTTCTTTGATGTTTCGTCGCTAGGTCATTCGATAACGCGATTGCGCAGTGGGCGCTCGAGGGGAGCAGGAGTCGCGATGAAGAGACCCGACCTGACTCAAGGCCTGGCGCACATGAACCGCACGCCGGATAGTCGGGTAAGAAATCGATCGATGGTGTAGACCGAGTTTAAATGCGCAAACGAAACGATGATGTGGGAATGGCAGAGCGCATCATTATAACACTGAGGAACACTGCGTCGGCGGGGGCGACGCGCGCTGTTGGGCGGGCGGAAGGCGTCGAGCAGGGTTGCAAGCGAAGCGCTGGAAATAAAGGAGAAGCAAGGATTCTTGCCGGCCGAGAGGCGTCTTCTCCAGGGCAACGTGCGATGGGATACGGCGCGCTGGCTTGGGGTGTTGGGCTTTGAATTGATGCTGCGAAGTCGACGATTACTTTTTTTCCCCAGGCCGCTTTCGAGATTCGTTTGCGCCAGATGGGAGACGTGTTGCTACCTTGCAGTGGCCCACTTGCCAGGGCCAACCAGAGCAATTGCGCATCGAAAATGGAAAGCGCCGATAGCAAAGGGTGGCTGTTTCCGGGTTTAAAAGATGAAAGAGTTAGAAACGGAATGCACTGAGAAACTACGGATTATTGAGATATTTACACATGTTTAAGCTTAACCTGGCGAGCTGCGCCAATTCATCCGTCATGTCATGGACCCAGGCATGAAAGCCTTGTGTCAGGACACCCAGGACATGCTGCCTGGACGTTGGCGTTGAACAACAATGTATCTTAGTAGCTAGCAAGTTCCTTTTTAGTGCCGATTGTATTGCAACGGTACCTACTTACCTAGTAGTGCTTGGCCAGGCTTCTCGAGCTTGTGTGGCAATGAATACCTGCTCACTACCTCGACCAACCCAGCTAACCACACCTTGACAAAGGTCCCGCGTCTGTAGCCCTTTCAAGTCACGTGCACCCTCTACCCTCTTACTCATCACTCCCCGGTAAGACAAGTGGGTCTCACTTTTAGAGAGCTCCAGGCGCCAAGTTTAGGCAAGCTGTGCCTGACGTGGATGGCTCGGGATTACCTGTGCAACTGTGCGTGCTCGTTGCTCTGCGCAAAACATTCTTCACCATTCACCGCGACAGCCTCCTCAATCAACTCTCCACGGCTCTCCAGCTGCTCATCTCATCCATTCGTCTTACCATACTCTCCTACTTGATTTTCCAGTCCCCTTTTTTCTTTTTTTCTTCGCTGCCTCTGCGCTTGATCCCGTCCGAAGCGCCTCACCATGCCGGGCCTCGTGTCAGCAACGGGCGTCCTCGCCTTTCTCGCTGACGAGGAGCCTGAACTGAAGATCTTCGCCCTCCAGACTCTGAATGATGACATTGACACCATTTGGACCGAGGTTGCCAACGCCCTGAGCCAGATGTATGCCTCCTTTATGGCTTCGCCACCCGCCCTCCCCCCGTTCCTTTGCTGACCCTTTGACCACAGTGAAGCTCTCTACGAAGACGAATCCTTCCCCGAGCGACAATTGGCGGCTCTCGTGCTCGCCAAGGTCTACTATCATCTCCAGGCCTATAATGATAGCATGGTCTTCGCCCTGGCTGCCGGCGATCTCTTCAAGCTCGACGCCCCCGGCGAGTTTGAAGAAACCATTGTCTCAAAGTGCATCGACCAGTACATCTCGGTTACCGCGGCCCGTCATGCCACTCCCAAGACGGCCAAGAATATTGGTCTTCCCGAGCTGACAACCACCTTCTCTCATGCCTCAGAAAATGCCATCATGTCGCCCACCACGCCTTTTTCGCAGACGATGCTGCCCCCCAAATCTCTACTATCGCGCGCCGCCCTCGACGACGCCTCCATTGAGGCTTCTCTGCTTCCCCTCAAAGACGGCCGCTCTGGATCTGTTGCCCAGCTTCCAGACCGTGCTACGGAAAAGGCCCTGCAGAGAATCATCGAGCGCCTCTTTGACAGCTGTCTAAAGCAGGGGCGCTATCGCCAAGTCGTTGGAATCGCCATCGAATCCAAGAACCTTGATATTCTCCGCAAGGTCATCAAGCGCGCCAACGAGGACGAGAAGAAAGCTGCCAAGTCCAACGATGGTGCTGCTGGACCTGCAGAGGAGCTCCTGGAGTATACGCTTGGAGTATGCATGGATATTGTCCAGGAGCGAAGCTTCCGCACTGAGATCTTGGAGCTTATCCTTGACCTCCTCAACGAACTACCCAACCCCGACTACTTTTCTATTGCCAAATGCGCCGTCTACCTCAACGCCGACGAAGAAGCTTCCACTATGCTCCAGGCGCTCGTCGCCAAAGCTGACCGCACATCTATCGCCAATGCCTACCAAATTGCCTTTGATCTCTACGACAACGGCACACAAGAATTTCTTGGCAAAGTCCTCTCCTCGCTTCCGTCTGGAGAGCGTGCTGATACGGAGGACAAGGAAAACGAAAGCAACCCCGAGAGTGAATCCCTTATTCAGAACCGGCAAGAATCCCCCGAGGATGAGCTTCCTGAGGAAGTCGCCAAAGTTTACCGCAACATTCGATCCATCCTCGATGGTTCCAAGACGATCCGCTTGAACCTCGAGTTCCTCTACCGCAATAATCACACTGACCTTAGTATTCTGAACAAGGTCCGCGATAGTCTGGAAGGTCGCAACTCCATCTTCCATACGGCTGTCACCTTCTGCAACGCGTTCATGAATCAAGGAACTACCAATGACAAGTTCTTCAGAGACAACCTCGAGTGGTTGGGAAAGGCGGTTAATTGGTCCAAGTTCACGGCCACTGCTGCGCTTGGTGTCATCCACCGTGGAAACTTGTCGCAATCCCGCAAGCTGCTTGAGCCCTACCTTCCCCGGCAGGGTGGCCTCAGTAGTGGCTCCATCTTCAGCCAGGGTGGTGCTCTCTACGCATATGGTCTCATCCACGCCAACCACGGCGCTGATGCTCTAGATTTCCTCAAGACCCAGTTTAATCAGGCAGAAGAGGAAGTTGTTCAGCATGGTGGTGCGCTAGGTCTAGGCATTGCCGGTATGGCCACTGGCGATCAGGAAACTTTTGAAAAACTCAGAGACGTTTTGTTCCAGGACTCTGCCCTCAACGGTGAAGCCGTTGGTGTCGCAATGGGTCTCATCATGCTGGGAACGGGTAATGTCAAGGCCCTGGAGGATATGATCACTTATGCTCATGAAACTACCCATGAAAAGATCGTTCGTGGTGTCGCTCTTGGCATGGCTCTCATCATGTACGGTCGCCAGGAAGGTGCTGACGTTTTGATCGAGGGTCTTCTCAACGACCCTGATCCTACTCTCCGCTACGGCGGTATCATGACCGTCGCCATGGCTTATTGTGGTACTGGAAGCAACAAGGCTATAAGAAAGCTCCTCCACACAGCAGTCAGCGATGTCAATGATGATGTCCGTCGTATCGCTGTCATGAGCTTGGGTTTCATCCTTTTCCGCAAGCCTGGCAGCGTGCCTCGCATGGTTGAGCTTCTATCCGAATCATACAACCCCCATGTTCGCTACGGCTCTGCCATGGCCCTAGGCATCTCATGCGCCGGCACTGGCCTAGACGAGGCCATCGATCTTCTGGAGCCCATGATGAAGGACCCTACTGATTTCGTGCGCCAGGGTGCTCTCATCTCTCTTGCAATGATCATGGTGCAGCAGAACGAGGTGATGAACCCCAAGGTTGCTTCGATCCGCAAAACTTTAAAGAAGGTCTCTGGCGATCGCCATGAGGACGCAATGACCAAGTTTGGTGCCGCGCTTGCACTTGGTATCATTGATGCAGGTGGCCGAAACTGTACCATCGGTCTCCAAACCCAGTCGGGCAACCTCAACATGGCTGGTATTGTTGGCATGGCTGTCTTTACACAGTACTGGTATTGGTTCCCATTTACGCACTTCCTGTCTCTTAGCTTCTCGCCCACCGCTGTTATTGGGCTGGATCATGACCTGGAGATTCCCGACTTCAAGTTCCACTGCGCCACTCGTCAAAGCCTCTTTGACTACCCGCCTGAGCAGGAAGTTAAGACTGAAGAGGGCCCCGCACTTATTGCCACTGCCATCCTATCTACAACCGCGCAGGCCAAGCGCAGAGCTCAGAAGAAGGAGCGCGCTCAGCGCCGGGAGAGTATGGATATTGACCCTACTCCCTCCAAGAGCGGCGGTGATAAGATGGATATTGATGAGGAGAAGCCCAAGGACAGCGGCAAGGAGGGCGAGGAGAAGGAGTCTAGTGAAACCAAGAAGAAGCCCGAAAAAGAAAAGGTTGGATACGAGCTGGAGAACATGAGCAGGGTTCTGCCAGGCCAGCTCAAGTACATCAGCTTCCCGGCTGGGCGATACAGGCCGGTCAAGAAGCCTACCGGCGGACCTCTTCTGCTTGATGATACGCAACCCAAGGAGAGCAAGTCTCTTTTAGAAGAGAAGCTGAAGAAGGCGACGATTGAGCGTGCGCCCATTGCTGCTGTTCAGCGCCTCGGCGGTCGACCCGGTGGCAGCCGCACGCTCGACAGCTTGGAGGACTCGCGTCGCGGGCCCGACACGACTAGCATGCTTGACTTGTTATCAGGTCAAGACAACGCAGAACGCACCGCAGAATTGCAGGAGCTCGGCCGGCGTTATCCCAGTCCTTTACGGGGACCGCTCAACCCGCATATCGAGCGAGACGACGAGGTCGAGGAGGCTAACAAGCCTGATGAGTTTGATTACTTCACGGACAGCAGCGACATTGAATAGGACAACAGGTTTGCCTAGCTGCTGTGGTGTGCCAGACAAGGGGTCGGCGTCGGAGACTATTTGATGAGTAATAAATGGTTGCGACCTTGGCCTGTACCATCAGATGTATACCAGCCAAGGACTCAAGGGGCCGGTGCTGTACGCAGGGGGCTGGACGAGACGGAGAACAAGTTTCAAGTATAGACAGCATATTTTTGTAATGTACAGTATATCTGAATAAGTCAAGTGTGTGCATGTTTATTAAGTGACGGGCGGGTAGTTGAGGTCGGAGCATGTCGGTTTTGGGTGCTCCGATGGAATGCTCACACGGGAGGGAGTACAGGGTCAAGCCCCCTTCAGCTGGCCTCTCTGTCGACGAGTCGTCTTGTTGGACAGGCGGGAGCCGGTGCAACAACAGCCTCTTGTGTAGGTGTATTTTTTGTTTGCTTCGTAGGCATATGGCCGCACGGTATCGGAGGCCGATTATGGCATACGTCGTCGTACAAGGCTGGCTCTTCCCACACTATGGACACGTCATTGTTGGGGAAGAGCTGCCTTGGACGATAGATGGGCCAGCCATATATGCTCTCTGCGGGCGCCATGGGCAGGACTGGGACTTGTCGTTGAGTGTTGGTCCGTCTCCGTGCCCGAGTGACTGGAGGCTGAGCACTCTGCGACACGGCTTTTGCGCAACGTGTAGAACGAGCTATACTGCAAGTTTTTGCTTAATACCTGCGAATCTACATCACTAGCGAACCGAGTCCTTTTGTTAACAAGCATGATTCAGCCTTGAATTATTCAATCCATATCCACTACCAACCACTACTATACACTACCAACTGCCTGCAGGTGGTCCGAAAAATTGACCAGCTGGCAGAGGGGGCCTCGCCGTTGCCTTTCTCGTCGCGTCGATGGTGTGGTCAACAACAGTAACGCCCCACCACTCGGGGAACGACTTGGCCGACAGTCCCAGACCCAAGGCGAACAAGACGATACAAAGGGCATTGCCCACATCGAGCGCACCGGCCATGACGTACGTGTACCGGGACCACCAGCTCTTGTACTTGTACCTGATCCAAATGTTGAACAGGCAGCCGACAAGCAGCCAGTTGGTCAAGTTCCAGAGCGTCGCGGGAGGGATCATGCCGCCAATGCTAAAGATGGCGGGGAAGTAGATGTAGCGCTGTTATTTGTGTGTTAGCTCGTTGCGTGTGTGATTCACGTTGGGGGTTCGCGGAAATAACGTACGGCGATGCTGTGGGGGTATCTTTTGGCAACCAGCCAGTGGGCGAAGGTGCATACAAAACCAATCAACCAGAACCAGTTTATCCAGGCAAAGAGAGCGCCAGGGCCAAACATGCGCTTGGGGCCAACGACACCCCAAATGACACTGGCGTTGAAGAAGGTACGGGCGCCCGGACAAGTGAAGCCTTGCTTTTGTTCGTCAGAGCAAAACTCGGGGATATTGCCCACAAGAAAGTTGAACGTCGCGATTTGGACAAGCGAGAGCCAAACAACGGCGAAGAACTGGGCACGGAACATGGATCTGGGAGGGACTTTCATCTAGAGCAAAGGGTTAGTTAGCCATTCTCATCGACAGGGGCAGGGACAACTCTTACATAGTGTCCGACCTTCATATCCGCCACAAAGTTGAGGCCGTTGGCCATGAGCATGTAGCCCCAGCTCTTGAACAGCATCATCGCAACAGGTCTGCCGGGAAGCATGTATCCGACAATGAACTCGGTGATGATGTTGAGGCCGGTTTGCTGACTCGTAATGGCTTGGATGATGCCTGAGATCTTCCGTTAGCCACATAGACAAGAGTCAATGGGCAAAAAGTGCCAAGTGCTGCTTACCAACAGGGAGGATCATGACGACACCCATAAGGACACACAAGATGAAACCCCACCACGTGAGTTTGGTGTCCCAAACCAGAGAGGCAGTCAAGGCGAAAGCAAAGGAAACGACAAAGACTGACAGGAACCACTAGAGTATACCGTTAGCCGTTGTTCTCCAGTTGGACGATGCTTTGTCCAGCTTACCCATTCAGGAACCTCGGGATACTTCCTCATAAGCCTCAGGTGCACGTCGGGCTCTTCGTACTTGGAATTCTTGGTGCGTTTCCAGATGTCTTTTCCGTAGAAGAGAGCAACGTGAACGACGGTGGACATGAGAGCGGCGAATCCCAACGCATAGGCCATGGTGAAGACGGGGCCAATCAACAGCGGCGAATAGGCTTCATATGCGGCCACGTTGAGCGTCAGGTCCTTGTTCAGAATCCGCGTCGTGTTGTATACCTTGCCAAAGTGATCAAAGTTCTTGTTGGCGCTCAGCGGGAGGTAGCGGTAAAATTCAGCACCGCCATAGGCCACGCCGTAACCGCAGACGAGGATGAGGAGCGCGCCAAAGAGGCTGTTCCACAGGGCAAAGGAGGGGAACTGCATCGGGTTGCCAAAGAAGCCGGCAACGCCGCTCCAGTCAAGAGTGCCAGGAATGAAGCCCAGACCATTTCGGCCACCAAAGACCTAATCACACGACGTCAGCAAAAATGTGGACGTGTTGCAGCTGGTAGGCATGTCAATCGTACCTGGTTGACCACAACATTGTTGGGGGCAATCCACGTGGGGAACAGTCCAATGCTTCCAACGAATGGGGCAATGGTGTTGGGAATCCAAGACCAGATAAACGTAGCGCCAGCCACAACCATGAAGAACTTGTATCGACCCATGGTCCATCCGTGGACGGGCTCTGCGCTACCTCGAGAGTGCAGACCGTCCATGACGGAGCAAGTGATGAGAACGGCGGGCCACTGTGGATATTGTTAGCAGGAGTTCAGGGTAGCCTCATCTTGTCACCCCCAAGTTACTCACAACCATGGCAGCGGGCCAAATCAAGAAGCGGCGCATAACACCGGCCAGCCCAAAGCCCATGGCCTGGGTGGACATGATCAAGAGGATCTGGAAGCCCCATCCCCAGGTCTGGCCGTAAAAGATTTGCTGGGCAATGAGGATGGAGATGGAGTAGCTAATGGTTGTGCCGGCGGCAGCCATCATGGTGATGAGGGTGTGCTCCTTCTTGTTGAAGGGGCCCGGGTTCAGCTCGACGCCAAAGATTCTCGCCTTTGGCATGAACCTTTCCCAGGAAGTGCCGAGGGGGTAGGCAATCAGCTGCACGACGGAGCTGGTGATGGAGACCATGAGGTAGTGCTCGTAGAGGAGGACGTTGATGGAGCCGACAACGGTGCAGATGACGAAGCCAATGACCCAGGCACGAACGGTATCGACATACTCGCTCGGGTCGTCGGTAGGTTTGACCTTGGTTCGGTTAGTGCGTGTGCAATGCTTGAGAGGTCTAGAGGATGCTCAAGTACGTACCGAGGAGCGGACTTCCAGATAGGGCGAATCGTCGTGGAGGATGGACTCTTCGACGGCGGCCTCCTTTTCGGGGTCGCCAGAGGCAATGGCTCTCTCGACACTGTCAATCTTTTCGTGGTCCATGAAGGGATCCCATCGATGCTGATCCTTCATGCGGCGAAGGTGGAAGTCGGCGTGGGCGACATCATTTTGGGGGTTGCTCTCGGTGCGGTCGACGCCAGAGGCGACTTCCGAGACGGTGCTCTTGGTCTTGAATTTGCTTGCGAAACCCATTGCTGCTGTGCGCAATCACGCTGTGCGGTGAAGAAGGGCGAAGGACCTCGCGGCAGTGGGAAGGGGCATGATTATATACACTTTCTGACAGACTGCAGCCCCCCCTCATACTTCTCAGCATTGCCCCCGTTTGTCCGTTTGCACCAGTTCCGCCCCATCTTCCAGTGAACCGTTTTGGCGCCCATCCTTCCGGGGAAGGAGAAAAAAAGTTCCCAACTCCTGCAAGCCACCGTGTGAGCTCCCAGTTTGTAAAAAGTCCCGGTCAGCTATAAGCCACGCTTTGAGAAAGTTCCAATGGCGCCCGATGTATTTCATCTCATCGGCGCCTTTGGTTGGCCGCCTCGCAGCCCAAAGGTCGGGTGCTGGAGGAACTTTTGGCACGCTCCTTCTCGAATGGGAGTGGCGAGAGGGGCGTGCCAAGGAGCTACCCTGACCAGAACATGGGGCACCGAGCGATAGACGACGGCAACCATGACAGAAGGACCGTGGGGGCTTTCAGGTTTTGTTTATCAGTCAAGTGAAGAAAGTGTGCTTTATCATGTCAAGATCTGGGCGGTCAAGGACAACTTTTGTTGGTAATTCGTACGCCCGACAAACAAATCGTACCGAGTATTCCCAACATCAACTTAGCTTCACTAGCTAACGTTAGCTACAGCTGACTTGAGACAGGGCGTAAAGCGTGCATATTCGACCATACCAGTAGGGGTGGTGAGGCTGAATGTTATGTTCCAATCTGTCGTCACATGGTTCTCCGCGCAATCTGTTATCAACCTCTTACAAAAGTTCCCAATTAACGACTTTTGAGCCGCGAGAAGGTACGCTTGGCTCGAAACGGACAGCCCGCGTTTGTGCGACCCACATCGAGACGACTAACCGTTAAAACATTAAAATAAGCTCGCGCGAGACTCGGAAGCCGCCGGGTTCGTAGCCAAAGAGCAACTTTATTACGAATGAATTACTTGAACGGATGCATAAGCTGTTTAGGACTGGTAATTATATATAATAGAAGAGGATCGGAATTCAAAATCAATCATTCGTACAGTCATGAGATTACCTAGGTACTTTGGCGTCTGCTTTCTACCTAAGCACCGGTTGGACGGCACATAGAGTACGGATACTGCTATGCGGACGAGAGAAGCTACGAACCGGGCAGCCTCACCTGACGGTACTAGTGTACTTCTAGCAGGTGCATACCTACCTGGTGTTGTTAGACGGATTGTAAAACTGCACATGTCTTGTCACCACCACTACCACCCACCACCACGCTCGCCACCCCCGCCCCCGGATGATCCTACGCCCACACTGCAACTAAGTAGATATCACAATAATGGGCGTTCTATGACTAAAAGGCGTACTTCAACCATTGAGAATCGTTGCCCGCTTCGGGTCTGATTGTCCCTTGGACAGCCAGCGGCCGACGCTAACCCCTTTTGGCGCACCATGACGTCTGGGGCAGCTCTGTGCACGAGGCCGCAATATGCCTGAAGGGGCTACTACGAGGCTTTGATAATATCTGGCTCGTGTTCCATGTTGCTCGGCTTTGAGGTGCAATTTTTCTCAGTTCTGGCAGGCCTGGGCAGAGGAGTGTCGCTGTTATTACAGTGGGTGATGCACCAGTTAAAATGCTGCGGGTAGATGAATGGCGCCACTGCGCTGCGACAGAATTGGGTTGTTCGTGCTAGATTGACTTGACTCTATACGCAACAGAAGTAAAACAACTGGTACCATGTACGGAGTATTTCTGTTCGGATTTCGTAGCCTTGGCTTGCGCATGTAGAGCAGGGTATTTTTTTTAAGTATTAAAATATGGTCAAGGTCCCCGTGGCAGGTTTGAAGCGCCATGTTGGCCAGCCAGTTCTACCATGTGTAATCTATTAATAGTTTGTCTGATTGGCTGGGTCAGCTTAGCCTTCGTTGGTTGGTACGCAGCCTACCCGGGTGCGAAAGCACTGATGGAAATGTCGCATCATAAAACTGCGCAAGCAGGAATTTGAAGCCCTCTGTACGAATATAATACTCTGGGATCGCACTGCTCTTACCCAGCCTCGGTCATGGCAAACGAGGACACGGAGACAAGTACTAAATAGGTACTAAGGTAAGGTACGCAGCTGGCAGACAGGCTGGCCGCCAGCTGGCGCACAAAACGGCGCCAAGAAAATCATACCCTTTTGTTTGTTGTCTGCAGCAGTGCACCAGCTCCCATGAAATACGTCTTCAATGCACCGCCATTTTCAGTCTGGCATCTTGCCTCCAACTGTCCACATCAACTTGATTGCCATCTTGATAAATTATAACTAACGTTATAGTTACAGGAACAACCCCAGACACGGAAGTCGGGCATCCACCAGTGTCGGTCCGTCGGGCGACCACCCTAGCTTCTCGACGAGCCGACCGACTTCCGTCCAATTACGCCCTATTTTATGCCCATTCATTGGCTCATTCATGGAGAGCACATCTCATGTCCTGCAGGGACAGATCCGCGGTCCCTCAATTCAAAGGCCGACTGCGGCCAGTCTAACAACGACCAGAAACCCGCCAACGTCTTGTGTAGAAAAGAAACAAAAAATAGGAGGAAGGGAAGGACGCAAGCAAAGGAGAATAGGTAGACAATATTTCAACAACATACCTAGTACCTACCTACCTATTTATGGCGATGCTCACGCTCGTGTTCATTGCTGTCAACCCTGCTGGCTAGCGCTAGAGTGGCCCACACATGTTTTTGTCCAACATCTGAAGAGGGGACAGAAGAATCCGTCCCCAGAGATTGATCCTCTACATTCGTACTTACTCTATAGTTATTCTCTATATTCTTCTTCCCACTCGTTCGATTAGTTAACTAGTTACTTTCGGCTCTTCCTTGAGTACAACCCATTTTGTGGCTATTTTCGTAGTTTTGTTGTACCCCCCGTTTGGCTAACCACTATGTACGAATGTACACCTTGGCAAACTAGTGCGTCGACGCCCTCTCACCAACTTGCCATTCAACCCACCCCCATTAGCACCAGCTAGCCAACGGCCAAGAGTCAACTAGCGACTGGATCATACAGATCCCCCAGATCATTCATCATTCGCGCTCGGCTCTGGGCCGCCGTGGCTGACACTGGCTGAGTCTTAATGACCCTGCAGCCCCACGACAAGACACGGCAAGCATCGGCGACCGGCATTGCCACAGATGACCACTCAACGTCACGAGGACCCCCGACTCCCGATTCTCAACTCGCCTCCCTGCTCCAACCTGACTTTTACAACCTCACAACACACACCACCACACATCGAATCAACCACACAATCCTTTGCGTCATTGCCTCTATACGGGATCCGCCCTACCATTGACCGTTGATCCGCCCTACCATTGACCGTTGAACCCGACTAGCAAACGTCCGTCACCGGCGTGTGGCGCCGTCCATTGGAGCTGCCACCACCTTCCAGCACCACATCCTGCCGCTGAATCTCTTGTTCCGCCACCCCATCATCGCACATCCACACGCTCGTTGCAATGCAATAAAACTGCCATCGCGACTCTGCGCGACCCATCCCCATCGCCTTGGCCATGGCTGCCCCGGCCTATAGTCGTTGCGCCCAGCGCGTCCTGCGTCATCTTCACCTCAGACCACAGCTTGCGCAGCAGCAATCTTTGCCGGCGAGGCGCCAAATACGAGACATGCACAAGTCGGCCGCACGATTGTCCACGAATGCAACCCCATCACAAGTACTCAAGACGCGGTATCGTGTCGCTGCAGTCTTGGCGGCAGGTCTAGCGTCCGTCGCTATCGGAACCTACTTTGCGCCCAAAGTCTCGTTTGACTCACCCACGGCCATCATTGGCAGCTTCAAGCCGTCCATCGAAACGCTACCCGAGAAACCAGAACCGGAATTGCCAGACACACGAGATGCATCGCTCCCACGATACCGATTATCCGAAGTAAAAGAGCACGACGGCAAGGCGGAACGGCCGTGGGTCGTCCATGGTGATAAAGTCTACGACATTACAGAATGGATCTCTGCCCACCCTGGCGGCTCCGTCATCTTACGAGCAGCCGGCGGCTCCATTGAGCCGTACTGGAATATTTTTGCCATCCACAAAAATGACTACGTCTACGACATTCTGCAACAGTACCTGATCGGCTTCGTGCACCCGTCCGACCTGGAAGACGGAAAGCCACCCCAAGACGCCATTGAGGACCCCTTTGCCGACGACCCCATCCGCCATCCCGACCTCATCACCAAGACCGTGAAGCCGCGCAATGCCGAAACGCCAGGTGAGGCCATGAGCGCCCAATTCCTCACCCCCAACGATCTCTTCTACGTCCGCAACCACATGTGGGTGCCCCGCATCGCCGAGGACGAATCCGACAACCATCTGCTATCTATTGAGCTGCTCGACGGCAGTATCAAGGAATACACGCTACGCGACCTCAAGACGAAATTCCGCGAGCATCAAGTGACGGCCGTGTTGCAATGCTCCGGAAACCGCCGCAAGCACATGTCGGACGGATCTGGTCGCGCTACCAACGGTCTCCAATGGACCGCCGGCGCCATCTCCAACGCATGCTGGGAAGGTGTCCTCCTCAGCGACGTGCTCAGGGACGCCGGCTTCGAAAATGACCAGGGCATGAACGGCACCAGCGAGGTCAAGCACGTCCAGTTCAACGGCATGGAAGCCTACGGCGCCTCGATCCCCATCCGGAAAGCGGTCGATCCGCAGGGGGATGTACTGCTGGCGTACGGCATGAATGGAAAGCCGCTGCCGCGCGATCACGGCTATCCGCTGCGGGCCATTGTACCTGGCCACGTGGCCGCGCGCTCCGTCAAGTGGCTGAACCAAATTACGCTCAGCGAGGACGAGAGCACGAGCCAGTGGCAGCGCAAGGACTACAAATGCTTCGGGCCAAACCAGACCAAGGTCGACTGGGACAAGGCACCCGCCATCCAGGAGCTGCCGGTCCAGAGCGCCATAACTGCGCTGAGGCTCGGCGACTGGGTCAAGGAGCCTGCCGTCCCGGCGTCTGTACCTGACGCTGCGGCCACCAGCCAAGACGAACCCGCCGCCGACGGGCGCAAAGTGACGCTCAGCGGATACGCCTTTTCTGGCGGCGGCCGTGCCATTATTCGCGTCGACGTCTCCGTCGACTCCGGCAAGAACTGGACGCAGGCCTACCTCTTACCCGATTGCGACCCTAAGCCCGGCTCGCCGACATCGCTGTGCCACGGCCACGGCGCCTGGACCTGGAAGCGCTGGATGTACAAGGGTGTAATCCCCGCCAGCGTATTTGCCCAAGGCGAGCCGGAAAAGGTCGAGTCGGTCGAAAACGCAGTCTCCCCCGATGCTGCTTCCGATCCGCCGCCCCGGAGATGCACGACGCTCCTCGTAAAGGCTACCGACGAGGTCTACAACTGTCAGCCAGAGAGCCACGCGGCGACGTGGAATTTTCGTGGCAACTTGGCGAATGCCTGGCACAGGGTGCAGGTGTGCAGCGAATGCGCGCCGGAGACGAAGAAGACGGGGAAAACAACAAAGGAGTGAGATCGGAAAATGCTGAGGTTTTTTTGTCGGGGCTTTTCGACCTGGCGATGGTTTCTAAAAGGCACGGAGCATCTTGGAGATGCAGGCATTGCGTTGATTTACATTACTGCTTGTAATACCTTTTCTTTGTTCCTCCGTTTCTTATGCATTTATTCTTTAGATTTTCTTATCGCATGCAGCGGCCACGAGCTGCCAGCCAAGCTACAGTTGTTCTTCCATCTACATGGCATACTAGGTCGAGTGCACACGTCAGTTCGAACATATCTTGGCATACGCGCCGTGTCTCCCGTGCATGCAATGGCGACGATGATTGAGTTAAGTGACAAGTGTAACGAAGAAACGCCCCCTATTTTGATACCACCGGGTGCCTTGACTAAATACACAAAAAAAAGACAAGATGATTTTCCCAGCAAGCTGACCCCATGCACGCCAACAATTGTAAACATGGATCGACGACTTTCCCAGCCCGTTGAACGCTGTGGGATTTTCCAATATACAGGCAAAGAAAATAACAAAATTTGCGCGAAATCATGAATCAATGTCGGGACCGATCTTTTCAACTATTTGACACGAGTGAGCAGCTCGCTTTTTTTTTTTGCTGAGATGCTACGAGTCAAATCATATTCAAAGGAATAAACATACCATGGCCGCGAGAACAAATAATTTTTTTCCCCTAGCGCAAACCGAGGTTGAGACTTCCTCTAACTGGATGTCGTGGCCTCGTCACTGCCACTGAGCTCGACCTCGGTGACGCTGACGACAATCGACTCGGGGAGGCTCATGACGATTGTCTGCGGGAGGCCCTCGCCGCTGCTGTTGCCGTGCGGCGTCTTTTCCTTGCCGGCCAGGCGCTCGACTATGGCCTGGGAAGCCCTCGTCTTTTCGGTCTGGGCCTCAACGTCCTCTGCGGTCGCGGCTTTGCGGCGGCGGCTCGTGACGGCGGCGGCGGCGGCCTTGCGCGCGCCCGACACCGCCAGCCGGGGCAGGGCCAGGAGCGCCTGGCCGATGCCGCGCAGGTCGTCGCGCAGCTCCCCGGTGCGGCGCTTGGCGCGCAGGTCCGCGACCACGATGCCCGCGAGGAACAGCAGGAACACGCCGAGCAGCGAGCCGGCCATGATGATGTCGCCGGGGACAGAGGGCGGCGTCGCGGTGGGGTCCTGGGTGCCGGCGAGGGAGACGATGGTGGTGCTGCGGTTGGAGGGGAAGGAGAGGTTGGTCTGGTTGTGCAGCGCGGTCAGGTTGGAGAAGGGAGGCATTCGGCTGTGGTTGCTGGAGAGGTCGTCGCGTAGGATGTGCTTGGTGAGAGTGTGGTTGTTGACGAGGTCGTCGCTCAGGATGTGCTTGGTGAGGGTATGGTTCTTGATGAGGTCGTCGCTTAGGATGTTCTTGGTGAGGGTATGGTTCTTGACGAGATCGTCGCTTAAGACGTGCTTGTTGAGGAGGCGTTTGGGGGCAAGGTCGGGGTGGTTCTGCCAGTCGCGCGAGGGCGCTGCAGGTCGGTCCGTTGGAGTGCCATAGCGTGTGGTATTCATCTTGTTTCTCGTTATGCTTGCTGTGTGTGTGTGTGTTCTTTTGAGAAAAAAAAAGAAAACGAAAAGAGGCGAGATCTGGTTTGGGGAAACGGTGAACTGAATGATAACGGGGAGAATGAACGGGGAGGTCAAAGAATGGCCAGACAAGATCGAAGGGGGCGAGAAGAAGAAATAAAAGGAAAAAAGAGAGAGGGTATGGGGCCTTGATTTTGGCTTTTCACCCTGCCGTTTATGCTTTGCGGAATATAAATATTCGGTGCGTGGGAAGCGAGAAACCGGGCTTGTGGCTGTTGGTCTAGCCTTGGGGAAAGTCAAGTTTTGTAGCTGGTCGGGCGTGACTTGCGCGCTGGCGGCAGGCGGCGAGGCCAAGCTATGATAACTCGCCTTTCAATCGAGGACTTGCGGCATAAAAAGTCCATCTCATCATCGATCCGGGTCACGGTTGTGGTTGAAGTTGCAAAAGGTATACCTCTTGATGCCTTTCGGCACAACTTAGCCATCTCACGACCCCCCCGTCCACGGAATTCCCGACGGCGTCTCAGCCTCTCTTGCATAAATACTATAATTACTTTGATTATGTTCGAGAGCTCAATGCTCAGATGCTATTTGCCTTTGCCGGGCGTAACTAGCCTCGTCGACGGACCGACGCCGGGCGGCCTTGACAAGCTAGGCGCGTCTAGCCTGGCGCTACGAGGAAAAAAATAGTGTTTTCACTCTTTTCCACGTGCAAACTATCTAGACGCATCGACTTCTTAAAAAAAAAATAAGATACACGTAGCGTCGTCGCCGTCCTCCCATTGCTGGTGCGTGCATGTTCCAACCCTTTGCACAGCCCAGACAGCAACCAGCAACCCATCCGTGTTGCCCGTCTGCACAATGTAGATGACGTAAAGACACCTCTACATACAGTGCCACCTCATCTACATAACTACCTTCGGTCTTCTCGAGCAGTACTTGACTTTCACAACCATCCAAGCCCTCATCCCGTCCTAGAGAGAGAGGGCGTAGGACGACAGGCGTTGTACGTGGCGGGATGGGAGGCGGGCGCTTGAAAGTACCATGAAGGGATGAGGAGCTGGCAGAAGTTTCATTGTGTGTCTGACGTTTGTTTATACGCGCTTGTTTGGTTGGCGTCTTAGTCCCCTGCGACTACTCTCGGTTACGTCATATTCAACATGTCGTACATGTTGGTACGGCAGCTCTTGTTGTAGCAGAAAAAGAGAAAGAGAGAAGGAGGGAAGGGAGGAAAAAAACCAAGTCATGAGTTAATACAAAGGGTAGATATTTGGATAGTTATTCTGCTGAAATGGTTTTTGTTGCTTTCTCTCCTTCATTTTTCTTTATCCCGCGGACATCTACATCTCACATGGCGGGGTCCGCTACCAAGTACCCCGCCAACCTCGGGCCATGGTTCAGTGAGATATTCAAAGCGACTTCCTTCATCTCCGCCACCCCCACGCCTCTTATCTTCTCCTTCTTCTTCTTCACCGAAAAAAGAAACAATCCACCGTTTGCCAAAGCGCCTACACATTTCCTCTTCCGCCATCTTGTTCCCGGCCCTTGCTTCCACCCAGCCCGCCGACCCGATGGCGCCGCAACCCATCGCACCGGCCCCCGCG